CCAATCATTATGTGAATAATAATAATATTTTAAAATAATTCACGCAGCGCCATCTAGTACCAAGCCAAGCAGAGCTTGTGTTCTGTCTATTGGACAACTGATATAAATACATACGATACATTATTTTTAAATACAACACAATGTAAACAACATAGACAACACACAAACCAATACAAACAATCATACTCATGAATTCAAATATATGTACCGTGCGAGGAATCGAACCCGCGACCATTGAAAGTAAGGTTTGCTATACCGTTAGAGCACTGAGGGTCATCATCTGCTCTGAGGGTATGGTAAAATTATCTTTATTAAAAAACTTGATTTTAATGTTGTTCAGATTGTACCGAAACTATTCATATAACATTCTGTTAGGTACAACTGATAACTGATAACTGATAGAAACTTGATTAAAACTGTATATTGAAACTTAAAACATAACTGATCAATGATCGAAATGAGTACACGCGGCATTCTTGATGACCGAATGCGAACTGATTTTAAATGACATATGAAATGTATATGTACATCTATATATGGTGTAATTTGGTTGAAAAACTCAAGTGCTTCAAGTCGCCGATGCAGTTCATTTATAAACTATAATTTTGTGCAATTTGGGCGAGTTCCTTATTTCCTTTTCCTTCGATCACTGCAGTGTGGCTAAACAATACATCAATACATATAAATAAAATTGGAGTGTCTGTTTGTAATATTGAAATAATAGTTTTTTACTACGTGAATATCTATGTAAAATAACATTTTTTACAATTTTCGTCTGTCTGTCTGTTTGTTCCGGCTAATCTCTGAAATGGCTGGATCGATTTTGATGGGACTTTTTTTGGCAGGTAGCTGATTAATAAGGAGTAACTTAGGCTACTTTTATTTTAGAAAAATAAAGTTAAATTCCATGCGGACGAAGTCGCGAGTACAGCTAGTGTAAAATAAAATATTAGTGTTGCGAGATAATGTACGATGCTAGCTCGTACAAATGTTTTTCATTTGTTCTACCGCCACATTTGCGTTTTTTAACATAACTGGAAAGGCAAGCCAGAACAGGCTGCCCCTTGATGGCAACTCGTTTAGTGATACCTTTATGGACCGCGCGTTCTCTCCTAGAAGACATTGTTGTGAATTTCGGAACTTCATCGTCCACTGATGCTCCCTCATCATAAGTCTACCATTACCGCAGGGGAATGCACCATTCTGGGGGTAAGGGGATTGTTATTAATGGGAACTATGTAATCCCATTGCTAGCAATCTTCCATGTTGGGTCGACGTCCACGCGGTTCCTCCTGGAAACCATTGTGATAAATTCCTAGTGGACGGATCCTCCACTGGTGCCCCGTCAGCGTAAACAGTTAGCGCAGGCGGGTGCACCATTTCATTATCATCCATAAAAAAATACACCATTCTGTATTAATCGATTGGTTAAAAAATCATGTACCACTCCGCCATGATGGTCATTTATTTGGTCGTTAATTTTGAACACTAAGGTTATACAGCAAAATGCGGATTTTTCTTTGTGTGGCATGTCTATTATACACTAACAAACGAACTCAGTCGTAATCTAAATATATATAACTCAAAGGTGACTGGCATAGTGATCTATCAACGCACAGCCCAAACCACTGGACGGATCAGGCTGAAATTTGGCATGCAGGTAGATGTTATGACTTAGGCATCCGCTAAAAAAGGATTTTGATAAATTCCACCCCTAAGGAGATAAAATAGGCGATGAAAGTTTGTATGAAAGTACTGTAAAGCCGCAAAAACTATACCTAATAATAATATTTCTTAACGCGAGCGAAGCCGCGGGCAAAAGCTAGTCATTATATAAACACAAGAAGCAAAAACTTTTTTTACGAAAATTTCGCGGACGAAAGTGTATGATATTTCGCACACTTACAGTTTATATAGAGAAGAATGCAGTATGCATTTTTTTATTAAATAAATAAATAACCCTGGTCATCAAGTACCACGGTAAGCAGAGCTTGTGTTATGGGTACTAGACAACTGATATAAATACTTGTATTTTGTTTCGTAAATACATACGTAATGTACATGAAAACACCTAGATTGATACAAACAATCATACTTATGAATGTTAGCACCGTACGAGGAATAGAACCCGCGACCATCGGAAGTAAAGCGGAAATAAAGGACAAGTCAATAGATGGGCCATAGTCTGGGATGGCGCTCTGCAGTCGCAAGCCCTTGAAGCGACACCCCATTCAAATTCAAAATATCTTTATTCAAATCGGTCTATTACAGACTCTTATGATATGTCAAATCTACCGTCAGTTCGGAATGATTTCGAGATGAAGAGAACTGACAAGAAACTCAGCTCTTTATTCTTTTCAAACAAATGTTGTACATGTTTACAATAAGATGTACAGTCATTTAAATTCAAATTTGGGAGAAACGAGTAACCACCAGCATATGCTATTGCAAAAAACAAAAAATTTAATAAGTGTTCGCAACCTGAACAGACCAGTCCCCACAAGCAGCACCCGTTCACGAGTATGACGGATGAGCCAACCATTACACTCAAGCATATTAGGTGGAGCATATCGACTCGGCCCACCACGTAGCCACAAGTTTGAACTTTATAGCGAGCATGACTGTTTCAAGTTACTCCACTACGTCATTTATATTATTTACAGCATATAATAATACAATAATTTATATTATTTAAATTACAATATACCATTACTAAATTTATAATTAGTTTCTTTAATGTGTATGTCAATAGGAAAATGATATGTCTCATTTTAAGTCCAAGTGCCATAGAATTCACAGACAACTAGATGGGGTGTCAGCTTGTTCGTTCTAATTACATAAAAAGAAGGAATTGGAGTTGAAGGACATAGTTCGTCGACACGCAGACAGACCGACATAGATAACACATTATCTGTGTATATAGTGTAATTGAAGTAGAGTTGTGTTGGCTGTCGAGTTGCCAGATTTTTCCAGCCTATAAGGGGCAAATGCTTATATAGACAAAAAATTACGGGAGTTTAGTTTTTTACCCGGAACAAATTATCAAAAGACAAATTGTCTAGCGTTTAATAATAAAAAACCGAGCTCAATTCGAATACGGGACAATCAGTCCCGCCGGGACATTTTAAACTAAGCCTAAAATACGGGACGTCTGGCAATGTTAGTTAGCTGTGCTCTCTATAGTCGTATTCATATGACAGTACAGGCCACTTCCGACGTCGTTATACGTTCTTTAATTTGGCTTCTAAATTAATAATAATAACTCAGGACAATCCACACAGCGTCGTCTAGTCCCAAGCTAAGCAGAGCTTGTGTTATGGGTACTAGATGACTGATATTAATCATAGACTTTTTTTGTAAATAGATACATAGATAAACATTTTATTCACGTTAAAGGCATACACACACAAGACACTGTGTGTGTATGCCTTTAACGTGAATAAAATGTTTACAACAAATAAAAAAAATACATACATATATACATTGTAAATACCCAGACCGTTACAAATCATACTCATGAATACAAATGTTTGTCTTCCGCTGGTCGCGGGTTTGATTCCTCGTTACGGTAACGAGGAATCAAACCCGCGACCAGCGGAAGACAAGCAGTGTGCTAAACAGCTAGACCACCGAGGCCGTCAATTCAGATTATATACGGACACTTCAATTATATTATTAAACATTTTGCCTTATAAATTAAAATCGGTATTACAAAATAGGGGTTGGTGATAGAAGGGTGAAAATTTAGGGTTGTATGTATTTGTCAATGCTAAATCATATTAAAATAAAAAAAATTGTCGAAGAAATAAAAAAACATTTTTTGGGCCACCCATAACACTTTAGGAGTATATAAATTAGTTATAAACCTATTCTCAGAACTACTGAATATACATATAAAATTTCATCAAATTCGGTTAAGTCGTTTTGGAAAGGTATAAACACGAAACCTGTCGAGTATACAAAACTAATTAGCATATAATTAATTTTGTATTTTCGACAATTTCCTCACATTTTTTTAAGACATCGTTGTTTGGCGTAGCGAATTTATAATTTTAGATATTAAATTAAACTCATTAATAAATAGATTTGTGTCGTAATACTATAATTTAAAACGGGTTTGTATGAGATTTTACTACGTTTGATTATATTGAACGAAAGGTCTGTAGTTAATGTCAAGGTCACGCAGTTAGTCGTATAGAACACGATCGTTTATTTGTAGGTTTTACTACATTTTTATACAAAGCGTAACATGCTTTGTATTCGATAAATGTATACCGATTATGATATACTAGCGGACCCGTATGACTTCGTCTGCACACTATATTACGTCACTATATTTCGCCCAATTTACATTATTTCTTTTTAACCTATATGTTATTCTGATATATCCTTACTAATATATAAATGCGAAAGTAACTCTGTCTGTCTCGCTTTCATGACAAAACTAGTGCACCGATTTAAATAAAATTTGGTATACAGATAGTCTAGACCCAGAGAAAGGACATAGGCTACTATATAATGCGAAGAAAGGGTTGTAAGGGGTTGAAAGGGGTGATCAAACGTTCTATGGAAGTATCGTCATTTTTAAAACTAGAAGCTTGAAACTTATTTTTTAAATTCTCTATGTATAGATAGTCAAAACTATCTGTACATAGAGATCTAGACTATATATATTAATATTAAGGGGGTAAAATAAAATAGGGGATGAATTAGAAATTTCTCATTCGTCCTCTATTCCTTGCGAATGAAGTCCGCGGGCACAGCTAGTAAGCTATATTACTGTAAAGTTTCAGTAAAATCCGTTCAGTAGTTTTTGCGTGAAATCGAAAGAAACACCCGTCCATACTCAGAAACGTGTACTGTTATATACTAGTATATAGAGACAATTTGAATATATATTTTATTATTATGTCTTATGTATGTTAGTCTGTAACGTATTTTATAATATGGGCCATGTAGCCTGAATTATATAAATAAATGTATTTTTGTTTAAATTCCAGGATACATTTGGACGGGCAAAGAACTGGGTGAAGGAACTGCAACGGCAGGCGTCGCCATCGATCGTGATAGCGCTGGCGGGCAACAAGAGTGACCTTGCGGCCAAGCGTATGGTTGAATTCGAGGAGGCGCAGGCGTACGCAGACGAGAATGGACTACTCTTCATGGAGACCAGCGCCAAGACCGCCATGAATGTCAACGATATATTCTTAGCTATCGGTGAGTAATGGTTACCATAACAGTACTGATTATGTAAAGCTGTTGCCATATATTGTGTTGAATTAGGTGTTATTTTGTTTAATTCCAATTACACAAATATTATAAAAATTTGTCTCTCTGTTTCTGCTAAAAAATGTATATATAAGATGTATGTATGTAAATATATATGTACAATAGAGGAGTAATACATGGTGCGGTGTGTTTTGCAGCGAACAAGTTACCAAAGAGCGAGAGCGGCGGAGCCGGAGCGGGGGCGGGCGCGGGCGGACGTCGGCTGCAGGACGGGGAGGCGCCGCGGGCCTCCTCCTGCTGCAAGTGATACCCGCGCCGCGCACAGGTAACACGCACCGCACTACCACACGCTACACCACACTACACTACCGCGCCGCGCACAGGTACCGCGCCGCGCACAGGTAACACGCACCGCACTACCACACGCTACACCACACTACACTACCGCGCCGCGCACAGGTAACACGCACCGCACTACCACACGCTACACCACACTACACTACCGCGCCGCGCACAGGTAACACGCACCGCACTACCACACGCTACACCACACTACACTACCGCGCCGCGCACAGGTAACACGCACCACACTACCACACGATACACCACACTACACTACCGCGTGGCGCACAGGTAACACGCACCACACGCTACACCACACGCTACACCACACGCTACACCCACGCTACACCACACTACACTACCGCGCCGCGCACAGGTAAACACCACACCACCACACGCTACACCACACTACACTACCGCGCCGCGCAGGTAACACGCACCACCACACGCGCTACACCACACTACACTACCGCGCCGCGCACAGGTAACACGCACCACACTAACACGCTCCGCACTACCACACGCTACCACACGCTACACCACACTACACTACCGCGCCGCGCACAGGTAACACGCACCACACTACCACACGATACACCACACTACACTACCGCACCACACTACCACACGATACACCACACTACACTACCGCGTGGCGCACAGGTAACACGCACCATATTTACGCACACGAATATTGGGAATCACTATATTCTCTGTAAGTTATTTCTGGTCTCTCTGCTTAGATTAGGTAGAGATGACGTTGTGTGTATTGTCCACGGTTTTAAATGTATTTAATTATAACGAATATTACGCGATTTGTTTCAGATAAATTCGCTAGCAGGTGAGGGCGCGAGCGGGGGTTGAACATAGTAACGTCGCCGCCGCCGGCCGGCTCCCAGCCACCACTAACACACCACACCCACAGAGCACCACACACTTACAGAGTGAAAGCTTTTCCCTCAGTGCTCATTCTATCATCTTTAGACACACGTAACTATGAACAATACTGTCCATATCACAGTGTTGACAATGGTTTTACCTATAAAATTTCCTAGATGAAACTAGTGCTCAAGTTTACATTCTGTATTGTGTAATGGTCTGTGGTACCACACCATCGCCCACTCGCTGCCACAGAGGGCCTATCGTGCCTTCATCCTTACACCTTCTAATTAAACTCGCATGTTTACTGTCACGCGTGAAGGTCTTCAACCACAGATCCAGATGCCACCAAACTGTATTAAGTTTCAGGCTTTAATACGAATAATTTAACGGTAAATATCCCCTTAGATTCACAAAAATACACTCAAGTCTAATTAAAATATAATAAACTTTTCGTTGCCGACCTATCATGTCTTTTTCTTGATTGAAAGAAATTGGCAAAATAGTGTAATAGATTTTTTATTTAGTTTTTATAAATACGGGAAAAAATCAGTTTAGTTCTGTGAGGAATTTATTTATTCATATATCCCTAAATAGGTTTATTCATATTGTAAAGTTTGTTATGCTTATTTTTCATACACAATACAATATATTCGTGGTCTGTCCCGCATCTGTGTCTGTGGTCGTAATTCTACGTTCTCTAAGCACGACTGGAATCGTGTAGAGTGGTAACGCTCGCGAGAACCGGAGACGGCGGCCGCGTTCTTTTATTATACAAGAGCTAAATATAAAAATGATACATAGATTTAACCTATTTGTAATTCTAATGAGATGTAATAAAGATATATTTAATTTCGTTTGTATCATGTTATAGGCAGTCGGTTGCACTGTTCCCGCGTAGTTTAAGGGTTACATAACGAGAATCGGTTCTAGCCGCATCGCCTCGTTACTGCGTTATTCTGCGGATGCTATAGTTGGACGGGCTGGCGACGTTGAATTAGATCATAAATACATTAAAAATATTAACTACTTAGGCCGATATAATCGAATTTGTATGTAGACTACGAGTATCAAAACGCGAAATAGATGTAAACACAATTCGTCCAACTATAGTTCTTCATTTGAAGCCTAAGCTTCGTTACTATCAAAATTGTGGTGAAGGTGCATTTACATTCGCGTTCATACATGATTTTTTTTACACATTAGTGCAGGTTGATAGTACTGCCGCAACAAAGTGTCGACTGTTGTAAATTGTATCTACTGTGAAGTTGTTCAGTCTCTTACTGATTGTAGGAAAATAGTCTGTCAAGGCGTTGCCGTGGACGTAAAAATACAAAATTTACTTTAAAGTCTCCGCGCTACGAATTTACGTAGTACGATTTTTGTAATGTATATTGTTTACAGTAAAAATCGCACGATAAAATTCGCAGCGTGTGTCAAACCCTTAACCAATATATACAGCTAATTAATTTAGAAAATTAAAGTTGAAAATAGAATACAATATAGTTCTATTTGACATTAGTAAACGTCATTTCAGATTTTTAGTCTACGATAATTCTTTTACGGAACTTTTTATCTTCAAGCCTGTTATCGTATTGGAGCCAGACTCATTTAAATTGCAATAATGAACTTAATCACATTGTACCCCAAGGTTCAATTTACACATCGAAATAATGAGTGTTCACGAACACTGACAGGATTTCATCGCTTCCTTTTCGTCATTTATTCACAAGGTCCTAGGATAATTTTTATTCACCCTACTTCACGTTGTTTGGCCTATGTACACATTTCAATAATTAATATATACCATTAAATTATAGCTTGTTCGATCATTTTCGTAATAATTAAATAACAATTTGCACTCTTATAAAAGCGCTATGAAGTTTCGACGTAAAAAGTACAGCAAGCCGAAAGTCAATTTAATTTACTTCACGAAACTGATCAACACAGTGTTGTTTCTTGGTGAAAATATTAAATTATCGAATTTTCGGTTTAATATACTCTTACGATTGACCCTGATTACTACTATGTCCAATTTAGAAACAAGAACAATTACTCGCAACTACAATACATATAGATAATATTGTTAGAGCATTAATATTAATATATTGGAATGTGTAGTCTAACAATTTCTTATTTAGTTCAAATAAATGCATAGTTATTTAAATTTAGATTTACGTGTCTCAGTTAGGTCGTTATAGTTATTTTAAACACTAATTATTCAATGGACAAATTGTTCAAATTATGTTATTGTATTTGCATAACCTGTATAATTCTATATATATATATATATTTTAAGTGTATTTCAGTGAGTCTTGCTTTGATAGTAGCTATCTTTATGTAATGATTTGTAAAATCGCATTCCAAACGGGATATTGCTGGTATGGGAGGTAGAACTACAGTGTCTAACAGTAGAACGTGTATAGTCCTTCGGTTCGGTTTAATTGGTTGAACATACTCTTTCCGTTATTAGAGCAAAAATTTCACTTCCACATTGCGCCGCAAGTAATCGCAAGTTGTCGCAGGATCGATAACCCACGGCGCTGCGTGCGAGTGGGCCTTAACGCATACATTTGAAAATTAATATAGGTATTTGTAGGAAATGACGTGTTGTGACGAAACAAGAGAAAGACACATCCTCACGCAGACTGCTATTTAATTATTAATAACCATGTTTTTTTAATAAAGTAGTTATACTTAACAATTAAACGGTAATTTTTACATTATTAATTGAGATTACAAGGAATTTAAACAAGTTATCGAAGTAGTGGTGCGTAGAGATTTCGTTGATTAGATATGCGACTCCCACACACCGCCAATTCTACTTCCATTTGATAGCTGTCACTGACCATCTGTCAGTTATCTGCCGTGTTAGTAACAGTGTTCTATAATCACATCCCTTACTGTCATGCTCTAGAATAAAATAATAGAAATCTATACTTGTTACATATTAACTTATGGAGTTACCATTGAGTTAGAAAAGATTAGCTTTAGTTACAATTCTGAGCTATAATGTGTCGTTATCTGTTTCGTTACAATTCGTCCCTTACAAATTATTTTAAAACGCTTGCATTATATAATTTCGTAGTATATATTTATATATCTACTAGCGGAATGGTTTATTTATCGGATAGACGTGAAGCGCCATCTACGTAAACAACTCCCCACGGATTGCAATCACTTGAAACGGCGATGAATGTTTTTGTGATATTATGTCAATCGAAGCCCGTGCATTCAACAAGCAATATAGGTATTGCATTTGGTATAAATATGTCCCATTTATATGTAATGAGTTTATATACAATTTTATATGTGCTACACAACTGTGTGTGCGTTCATAACTATGAACGCATAACGTGATCGCTTGTTTCATACAAAATTACAAATTGTAGTTTTAATTTACATATATATATGTATGATGTTTTTGGAAATTTATTTTTAATTATATATAAAAAAAGACCGCTTCCCGAATGGTGATTGTTAACTAAGCGAAAGTCGCTGTCTAATATAATGTTAGTTTAACGTTTACAATAAAGTGAAACCTTCAAAACAACTTGAGACAGAAGTAATGCAAAATGCAAACCAATATATAATAGATAATTTTGTTTATATATATATTAGATTAATATGTAATTTTTAATTAATATAAATAGCAAATTAATTTTACTAAATTAAATAGTTATTTTGTGTAAAATATAAGAAAATTGTTATTTATGTTATACACTTTTTGACCGTCATTAATACGTACGTATAATATAAGACTAGTTTGTCTTGTATGTGTCTTTTAAAGGCTTGTAATAACACAGTTGTCTGTAATTAAATTTATTGTATGACGCCGGCGTCCAGAATTAATATGAAAAAAATATATAACGTATAAATATAATTGATATAGTAATTAATAACGGGTTCTGGAAGTTTTAAATATTGCATTAAGTCTGTCCCGCGTTGTTTTGTCGGCAGTCGGCCGTCGCGGAAGCGGCGACACGTTTGTAAACTTCATCAGTTTGTAATCGGCAATGTAAATCACACAACAGAGTAGCGAGGGACGCTGTGAAGGTAATATTATATGTTTTTGTATTGTGTAAATATTTTGGATTTATTAAGATTATTATATTGAATAAAAAAATATTGTAAATGGATGACTCGTTTCTTTTATTTCCTACCCGCATTGTAGTACTTTATTCTGTTGCAAAACTCAAATAAAACTTTGAAGTCGTCTGCGTGGCAGACTGATTGCCTCAGTTTTACCTATTTCAGTCGGCAAGCACCTTTTTTTGTAAGATGTCTTCCTGTTTAGTGTGAAGACAGTGCCAGTAGATAAAAAAAATTACATTATTCAAAATACAAATTTATTTAGATAACAGAATTTTTATTAAGTTCTATATAAGTGTTGAAGCCACATTTTAAGCTTAAAATGCCTGTGCCAGTAGGTTACACTCTTCCATAGTTTATATAATACGTTTTGATCTCTTTGAATATTGTAAGAGGCACGACATCATAGTTGTTTGGAAGGATAACGCATGAGTGTATCACGGATGCCACATGATAACTAGATGACAATGGATTTTTGTTAGTAACTCCCATTGCTAACACGATAGGTTAACTGACTTGACCTCATATTCATCTTATCATCTTCCACTGGTGACCCGCCAGTGTAAACCGTCGACCTCCACAAAAAATGGTTCGTCTGTCTATCCTCTTGGAAACCATATGCATAATTGATGCAGTGTCTCCAGCAGATTTTGATAAGTATTGTATTTTAGCTATGGTAAGTTCGGTTCCTATCACGTTATTTTTTTTTTGTATATGATAATGAAATGGTGCACACGCCTGCGCTGACTGGGCACTGGTGGAGGACAATAATATGATCATGAGATCAGGTTAGTTAGCCCATCCAAATGTAGGTCATTTAACTATCAACTTAACGTTGGTAGTAGAAATCGTCTCAGGGGTTAATTGTGATAGTATGTTTGTGTGAAAATAATACACTAGGATATTACAATAAATAGTTTATTTCGTTAGTCACGAACAACACACACATTGATACTCATATTTTGGTCACTGTAAGTATATATATATATATATAACTATACAGAAACGTATGGCACTTAAACTAAAAGTACATTATGTACAGTAGTAAATCAAATAAATATACGTAATTGACCGCATACGAATTTACTGGTTGACCATTGGAGAAAAATAGGGTATAACGCTATATATATATATACTCTAGATTTCAAATTAATAATAAATCATTTTTCATAATATAATAAAAAATATATTGACATATTTTTTTAATATCAATCGAATCGCATTTATTCTACCTATTTCTAAAAATCATCTAGTATAAATTGGCTCTAAATAGGCTGTTACATTCACAGGTGTAGTGACCAAGACAGGCTCAATCAAAGTTTATCTTCAGGCATTAATTATTCTTATAAATTCAATACCACTAAGATGCATAGACACAGCAATAATAATATATCTAAGAACCTTTATATGTAAGTAAATAATCAGAAAATTATATGCCTAATATAACAAAATTTGCGCTGGAACAAAATAACATATTGCGAAAACATTATAAACATTGGTTTTGCTCGAGTCACTTGCAACACAACTAAAATCTGTATTCAGTTTTGTCACTTGGGAATATATTTTGACATTACATGATTTCACGAATTATTGAACATTATTTGCATTTTCAAATTTAAATATGTAATAAAAATGAAATATTAAATTATTCTTATGCTTTATTACTTCACATTGTAAATTTTATAATGCTTCCTACATCTAATAGCTTCCTAAATTGATAAATTGATTAATGCCTATACATTTGATGTTATCCCCTGATAGTTACAATAAAAATAGGCCGCCTGTTCTATTATTTATATATAATGAAATAAAATAAACAGTTAATTATCTGTATAAAACAATAAGTGTTTTTTACTGTATAATTTAGAATTAATATTGTATATATTAATTATTAATAATTATTAATAACTGAATATAATAATAATAATAATAATACAATTACATTTTTAAGTAACTAACTTATAGAAAAGTTTAGTTGATTTAATTTTAATATTGACGTTTATGTACATAAATTATATAATTTTGAGGTTATGAAAAGAGCAATTTAATATAATTATTATTATGTCTTCTCGATATGACCTAGTAAGTACTATTCAATAGATTCTGTTATGATAAAATATAATTATTATTTATCAACAACATTTAACGTGTACTAGGTAAAAAGTAGCTTGTATGTTAATCTAGGATATACCTATCTGTGTAGTTCAATTTTCATTCAAATTAGCTATTCAAAAACGTAAGTTAAATTTGACGGGTGTTGACACACATATTCAGAAAATATGTCATTATACAAGGGGTGCTTAGTGCTTGTTTATATTTAGATATTTATATATATGTTTATATTCTTTAAACCTAAATACTGTCACCGGAAAGATCAACGTGTTTCTAAATTTATCCTAAAACATTCCTGAATTAATTAGTTGTAATTTGACTAATTACTTTACAATTATTACACATTTATTACAATTATTTTACACACTTACATTCAATGTTACCATAATACAAATAGTGTGAGTCACCGCCTTATAAACTACATGTTATATATACTTTTGGGGTTATAAAAATTTATGTATACTATGGACTGAACAATGTTTCTATTTCAACAGCATTTAGTTATAGACATACATACCTACCTATTATATATATGGATATTAGCTAAACACTGGTAAACTTTAACAGAATTTATTTATTGCCGAATCTTTGTCCAATTTATCTTGCAGGGAAGGTTAATACAGTTGTAGCAAGAGGAACGTTATATTTGTATCAAGTTGTATAGATTTCCCTAAATATTAACTGGCTTCATAAAATCTAAATTAACAAACAAATATATTAATACCGGTTTTCAATTAATTGTGAACCCCTCTAAAGAAATCTATAGTTATAGACCCAAAAACAGTTATTGCGTTTACAAACAAGTACAAAAGTGCCTTTAACTATTAAGAAATATAAAAAGCTTTTACTTTCTATTCAATGAAGAAATTAATTTTAAAGAAAGAAACAGTTCAATAGCTAAAATAAATACATTCGATACTTTTAATTAAAAAGTTTATTTATAATCTGTACGGTTGCATAAATCTCTCATCAAAACTTTAAGTTCAAATGGCACAGGTAACTAAGTTTTTAGGTGTGGGGGAGTGGTAACGCTAACGTTAGAGGTATTACGTGCGAGGCAGTCTGGTGAGTAGAATCTAATGGGATGCTCTTTATTCTCGATGGAGGATTATGTGCACTTCGGAGAATACCCCCATAGCTCTGGTTAATTTCTTCGGGGGCTACTGGCCTTGAATCTCTTCCGTTATTACCCGATTGGTCAGGGCCTTTTCTTCTTAATATAAGGGACCATTCATAAGTTACGTACGTTTCGTGTATATTTTTTTAACGCTATCCTTGTCACAGTAAGTCACATTTGTGAGAACGCATGCTAACGTGACGTCATTTGAAATTCGTCGTCATTTTGAAATTGGAACTCTTCGTTGCTAATTCAAATTATATTTTTAATTAAATACATTAGTACATCACAAAATGTAGAACACCTCCTACCGCCTTGTCACGTAATGTCACTATTTCTTGACCCCCCTTATTTTTGGATGGCCCCTTATTATGAATTTTTTAAATTAATTTTGTCATTGGTTTCACCTGGAGAGTTCAAAGTTCGTCCCCAAAGTGTTCACCGTAGAGATCGCCACCGTAGTCGGTGGCCTCGCTGCCCACGAACACATCGTGATGGCGAAGGATCTCGTCGAACGACAGCAGCTCGTCGTGATCGTCGTCCGCCGTCGCGAACAGGTGGTCCACTTCCTCTTCTGCTATTTCACTGGAAGCGAAATTTACTCACATTAGCTACCACCCCTGCAATCTATCCCTTGTCCAATTGAAACAGGGATCGAAATTACGACGGCCTGAGCCGAGGTTCGAACCCCTAGTGGTGTCCTTAAACTAAAGTCGAATCCGTCAGGCGGGAGTTGGTTTTCAGCCGCTCCATAAGTCCTTGCGCGGTTTGGAGAGTGCCATCTGCACTCTCCCCTATCGTTCCGTGAAGCTGTAAAGGCCAGCTGTGGCCAACAGCATTAGTGTAGCGCGGGAAAGCCAGCACATCCAATCGTGATTGATTCCATACAACTATTTGTTGTGTACACTCTGACCCGCGTGATTGCGCGTATATTTAATTTATTTTCATTTAATTTCATATTTACCAATTTAATTTTTTTTTCATTCCACAGTTTTTACATTCCAAAGACACGTTTAAGATTTATAAATTATCAATAACTTTATAATTTTGTCTTTGCTCAATATTCACATGTTGGCAATTTTGCAATAACAATGAATTATTGCAAAAAGACGCTCAGGCAAGCACGATTGAAGAACGCGGGAATTAGCGATCTTGCGGCGCGCGACGTATTTTTCTCTTTGCGTATCTTTATATGAGCACCCTTTTTCACGTGAAAATTTTTTTATAAATATATTGTTTCGTAGGAATAATTAAATTAAATATACTCACTCGTTGTCTGGCACGACCCACTGTTTTATCTCGGCGAGGTCCAGGCTACCGTCACCATTCACGTCCAGGTCGTGTTCGAACTTGTCCTTCTCCGATATGATCCACGCCTTATCCTCGTTCGATCCTGTCACCGATTGATCAATTCAAGCGTCATCAGTATTTTTAATATTGTAGCCTTGTTACAAAGGTGTTACATACCTGTACCTGTTGGAAACTGTTTTATAAAACTTTTTTATTGTCTATTAGCGGTTCCCGCGACTTCGTCCGCGTGGAATTTTATTTTTCTAAAATAAAAGTAGCCTAAGTTACTCCTTATTACATCAGTTATCTGTCAAAATCGGTCCAGCCATTTTGCCATTTAGCCGGAACAAACAGACAGACAGACAAGACAGACAAAAATTGTAAAAAAAAATATTTTGGTGTATGTACCCGTACTTATTCATATGCATATAGTAAAAAACGGTTATTTGAATATTACAAACAGACACTTCAATGTTATTTATATGTATAGATATATAGGTTTAACTATGAAGCTATATATCTATAACTATTTGAAGGGGGAATATTAGATATAAAAAACTCACCCCTCTCGCCGAGATATTCATTGAAGTCGATACGCCCGTCCTTGTTGGTGTCCTTCTCGCGCAGCGTCTGGTTCACCAGGAACGGGAACATCACCTCGTGCTCCTCCGGATTAGTGAACACCTGTAATAGTAATGTAATGTGGACTGAAGATCTTGTTGCTAGCAATGTACCACGTCAGGTTGACCTCCACGCAGTTCCCCCTGGAAACCATGGTGATAAATTCTTGGTGAATTTGTCACGATGGGTTAACTGACCTGACCTCGAGCTCATCTAATTAACCTCCACTGATGCCCCGCCAGCATATACCGTTACCGCAAGCAGCTGAATCATTCCATTACTATCCCGTAAAAAAAAACACCTGTATATAGGAAGGAAGGGGATTGTTAATAATGTAGACTAAAAACTTCTACATTATGAACAATCCCCTTCTCATGAAATTTTGTGAGCGTATGTTGAGTAGGTCTGAGAATCGGCCTTATATACATCTATTTTTCATCCCCCTAAATGTTAGGGGTAGTCCACCCCTAAATTTTTATTTTAATTTTAAAGCAAAACGACGTTTGCCGGGACAGCTAGTAAACTATAAAAGTGCAAAATTTTCGTAAAAACTTTGTGCTTCACGTTACATGGTATTGACAATGTCAATAATAATAAATAATAAAATTATATTAACAATTATATTACCTTAAATTCGTTGAATTGCAGAGCGCCGTCTCCGTTGGCGTCCGCCATGGTCCACATAGCTTTCTCCTCGCGTAGTAACTGCAAATAAAACATTTGATACTGTTGTAGAAATATGTAATAAAGCTATCTGTAAATGGATAAATGTTTTAATGGTAAGAGGGTAGACAGTGAAGTGACATATTATATAGAATTTGTTTTATATGTTTTTGAATATGAAACTTTGAATATCGTCGATTAAATAGAAAAGTGGCATTTTTCAAAATTAGAAGCTAGAATTTCCTCCTTTTATATAAGTCAATTAAATTAACCACGCCGTCTTAATCATTATCTAAATACTTTTAAAATAATATATAATACTTTTGTGTAAATTTAAAACTTTAAAGGGAAAAATAATTTAAATAAATTAAAAAAAAAAAACACTTTAAATGCTTGTCTTGTAAAAGAAATCACATTTTGAATACTGACATTTTTCTATTTAACCGACGATATATTATCAAAAGTTTCTCAACAGATACAAAACAATGCAGAGTATATATTTGATGATTGTTGACATTCTTGTATTTAAATACTACTATTTATATACTATTATTATATCTAAATATATATAACTCAAAGGTGACGAACATAGTGATCTATCAACGCACAGCCCAAACCACTGGACGGATCGGGCTGAAATTTGGCATGCAGGTAGATGTTATAACATAGGCATCCGCTAAGAAAGGATTTTGATAATTTTGAATTGATTAATCCAAGGGGATAAAATAGGGGATGAAAGTTTGTATGAAACTTTGTCAATTTTAAACCGATCGGGCTGAGATTTTGCATGCATAAAGCTACTATGACGTAGGCATCCCCTAAAGGATAATAAGGAGATAATTTACGCGAGCGAAGCCGTAAGCAAAAGCTAGTTTTAATATATAATCATTATTTTAGTTGTATAAAATAATACATATGGATCATCGGATAGTAAACACTTACCATACACTAATTTTAAATTTATGTCATAATTTATATATAGACATTATTTTTAAATTATAACATATTTCTAATCTGCATTTTGTAGTTTTTTCTGATACATCTATATATCTTTTCTGATACAGCATACGGCTCATCTGATAGTAAATGGTTACCGTAGCCTACGACGCTGTTTGAAACATTGTTTTTTTTCAGACTACTTTAGTGCTGTTGGCCGCAACTGGCCCTTACAGCTTCACCGGACGATTTGACGATAGGGGGCGAGTACAGATGGTACTCCAAACGTGCGGAAGGACTTATGGAGCAGCTGAAGGCCAACTCCCACCTGACGGATACGACTGTAGTCTGAGCGCACCGCTAGGGGTTCGAACCTCGGCTCAAGCTGTCTTAATTTCGATCTCCGTTTGAATTGGACGGGGGATCGATTGAAGGGGCTGAAATATTGTATGTATAATGACCGCGTCTTTATAACAGTCTAAGACATCTAAGTTCCCGCACCCCTACCATGCCCGTGTCCCCGGTGTCCTCGGGGCTGATCTCCTCTTCGGCGTCCACACCGAACGCGTCCTGCAGGTACTCCGCCCACGTGACCAGCCCGTCTCGGTTGTCGTCCACCTCCGCCATCCGCTCCTCCGCTTCCTCTTTAGACAAGTTTCTGTAACAATATATAATACTAGCTTTTACCCGCGTCTTCGCTCGCATAACTTCATTACTGACTGCTAGATGGCGGTGAAGTAGCAAAATGTTGATATTTCATCTTTTCGGTTTGTATAAAAAATATTTGTTTTTTTTTTTAATAAAAAGTATCCTATGTTCATCCTAATACCTCCAAGAATATGTGTACAAAATTTCATGATGATCGGTTCAGTAGTTTTTGCGTAAAAGCGTAACAAACATCCCTACTTTCACATTTATAATATTAGTAAAGATAACATATATAAATATTTAACAATATGCCAGATGAATTTAAACAATTAAATAGAATAAATTTTAAGAAACAACTAAACCGAAAAAACGAATCGACACAATAATAATAATAGTAATCTCAGGACAATTCACACAGCGCCATCTAGACCTAAGTTAAGCTAGCTAAAGCTTAAATTATGAGTACTAGATAACTGGTACTAATATAATATAATATGATGAACGCGAAAATTTGTGAGTATGGATGGACGTTTGTTACTCTTTCATACAAAAACTACTGAACAGATTTTGATGAAACTTTACAGTAATATAGCTTATATATCAGAATAACAATGTAAATTGGACGCAATATAAGGATAAATGCCAAGTGAGTGTGATGCAAAGGAAGTTACGCGAGTTAGCCAGTACATACATATTATACATAGACAATATTTATTGTTAAGAATTAATAAATAAATAAACAAAAGTTACGGTCATTTGCATGTATTACATTTTGTTTATGGGTGATAATGGAATGGTGCACCCACCTGCGCTAACGGTCTACTGTCAGGGCACCAGTGGAGGATGATAAGATGAACATGAGGTCAGGTCGGTTAGCTCATCGTAACAAATTTATCAGGAAATTATCACGATAGTTTCCAGGGGGGACCACGTGGAGGTCAACCTGACATGGTACATTGCTAGCAATAGGGACACTAAACCCTGTTATTACAAATCCCCTTCCCAGAAGTAATTTCTATTAAAATATAGTGGTTATATGCTCCTCACCGAGACTAATAACCAGCTTTTTCACCACCATTTGTTTATATGTAATGGGGATATAAGTCATTATTAACAATGCCCTTCCCCCAGAGCTAGGGGTTTTTATTGGACGATAATGTAATGGTGCACCCGCCTGCGCTAACGGTATACGCTGGCGGGGTACCAGTGGAGGATAAGATGAGCATGAAGTAAGGTCAGTTAGCCCATCGTGACAAATTCACCAGGAATTTATCAGGATGGTTTCCAGGGGGAACCGCGTGGAGGTCAACCTGACGTGGTACATTGCTAGTAATGGGTTCATGAGTCCACATTACTAACAATCCCCTAACCCCCAGAGCTAGGGGTTACACATGTGCAGTATTATATGTTATCTGTATTTTAAAATTTGTTTTGCCAACTTTCTTGATAGTGTAATCTCAGCGGGTGCATAGTTTTCTTTACAGTCGGAGAGTTCTTGTTTATCGTTTTATATTCAGAGTCATCTTTGACCGAAGTGTCAGATATGATCAATATTATAACATTTTTATATTCTAGGTATATTTGGAAGAAAGAAAGATCTATACATATAAATAAAATTGGAGTGTCTGTTTGTAATATTGAAATAACCGTTTTTTACTACATGCATATGAATATAGATACGGTACTTACACCAAAATAACATTTTCTACAATTTTTGTCTGTCTGTTTGTTCCTGCTAATCTCTGAAATGGCTGAACTGATTTTGACGGGACTTTTTTTGCCAGGTAGTTGATGTAATAAGGAGTAACTTAGGCTACTTTTATTTTAGAAAAATAAAGTTCAATTCCACACGGACGATGTCGTGGGGACAGCTAGTAATTAATATAATCATATCCCTGGACAATTCCCATAGCGTCATGTAGTCCCAAGTTGAGTAGAGCTTGTGTTATGAGTATTAGAACACTGATAGATATAGATTTTTTATAGATACAAACATAATATACATATAAGACACCCAAACACAAATAATATACTCATACAGTGAAATACTTGCACCGTGCGAGGAATCGAATCCTCCACCATCGAAAGAAAAGCAATGTCTATACTGCTAGACTTCCGAAGTAATCAAACATATTTACATTGACGCTAGATCAATCTGTCTATCTACTTGACTGCGCGATTGTGCGTGTTGATCTTCGCCGATTTGTGTGTGATTTTTAGACATGCATTGTTATTAAAACAATAAAAACCTACAATTTTACGTGTTATTTAGGAAATCCATTGCCACTCTGCTAAAATTCAACAAGTCACATGTAAACATGTCCAGGTGAGGAAATCGGCTAACGACAACGTTGAGTAGACTCAGTGCAACAGTAATGGAAGCCTGTTTGGCCAGCTCTGTTCTTTAATATTTATATTTTAATACAATCGATTTAGAAACGAAATTGTTATATAGGTAAGGAGCTGCAGCACAGATAATATAAAAAGAACCATCTATCACCACAAATAGTTAAGCATCTGTGGTGTGGTTTACGTGATAATGTAAACATACAAGACAATAAGTAACAGAATGTAAACATACGACATGCTGCAATACCCTCCAACTTCTCAGAGACGAATGTATAAATAAACAAAAACTCAGCACAAGATTTTTTTGTATTGAGATTGAACAATAACTATTATCTATACATCGGCGATTAAATAGAAAAATTTAATTTTTCAAAATTAGATGCTAGAATTGCCTCCTTTTATATAAGTCAATTAAATTAACCACGCCGTCTTAATGATTATCTAAATACTTTTAAAATGGTATATAATACTTCTGTGTAATTTTAAAACTTTAAAGGAAAAGTGCTTGTGCTTGTTGTTTAAAGGAAAACTGGTTGTATTCAAAATGTACATTTTATACAAGATAAAATGTACATTTTGAATACTGCCAGTTTTCTATTTAACCGACGACATATAAATAAAATTGGAGTGTTTGTAATATTGAAATAACCGTTACATACTACATGCATATGAATATAAATACGGTACATACACCAAAATAATATATTTTACTATTTGTTTGTTCCGCCTAATCTCTGAAATGGCTGGACCGATTTTGACGGGACTTCTTTTGGCAGGTAGCTGATGTAATAAGGAGTAACTTAGGCTACTTTTATTTTAGAAAAATAAAGTTAAACTCCTCGCGGACGAAGTCGCGGGTAGAGCTAGTAAGAAATAAAACAGACTACAGTTCAGTAAGATACATACATACCTACATATAAACCGTACTTACAATACAATTAGCATACACCTTTCAATCAATAATATAATAATAATAATAATCTCAGGACAATTCACACAGCGCCATCTAGTCCCAAGTTAAGCTAGCTAAAGCTTGTGTTATGGGTACTAGACAACTGACACAAATACATAGATATATTTTTTTTTCGTAATACATACATATTACACATAGAAAACATCCAGACCGATACAAACAATAATACTCATGAATACAAAGGTTTGTGCCATGCAAGGAATCGAATCCGCAACTATTGGAAGTAAAGCAGTATGCTAAACTGCTAAACCTCTGAGCCCGTCAAATATAATTACAATACATACTGTAGAAAGAATAGAATAATTTATTCAAATAAACTTAATTTAAGCACTTTTGAATAGTCATAACAATGTTTTTTTTAATCTACCGCTCATTCGGAAAGTTGTCCCATCACAAGAAGAACGAGCGAACTGTGTTTCTAATATTATAATATGACGACCTCGGTGGTCTAGCGGTCTAGCACACCGCTTTACGACCGATTGTCGCGGGTCCGATTCCTCGCACGGCACAAACATTTGTATTCATGAGTATGATTGTTTGTATCGGTCTGGGTGTTTTCTATGTATAATATGTATGTATTTACGAAAAAAATATTATCTATGTATTTGTATCAGTTGTCTAGGACCCATAACACAAGCTTTAGCTAGCTTAACTTAGGTCTAGATGGCGCTGTGTGAATTGTCCTGATATTATTATTATTATTATAATATACAAAGTAAATATACTGATATTGTTGTTTTATATACTGCACTATAGATGCAATCACTGTAAACATAGGAGCACGGCACAATGATGATAAGCATGAGATAACGCAGATAATTTATTACCTAATTTTTACTCTGTGTTGTATATGGTATGTTATGTGAAACAAAACTACTATGGTATGTTAAACAAAAGACCTCACGTTGGAATCTTATAGACATGAACTTTTTTAACTGTTGGGTTTGAGATGGTAACTCTATTGTTAAATTTATATCTGACCATTGTTAATAAACTGGAACTTTATATTTAGAAAGTTAGTGTGATTTTAATTGAATTCTATTCTATTCTATTCTGAATTTTGTAGCTGAACTGTTGCGAGCCTTTTACCAAATATACATATTTTATTTTAATTTACTAACTGTATCTACGACTTCGTCCGCGTGAAATTTAACTTTATTTTTCTAAAATAAAAGTAGCCTAAGTTACTCCTTATTACATCAGCTATCTGCCAATAAAAATCCCCTCAAAATCGGTCCAGCCATTTCAGAGATTAGCCGGAACAAACAGACAGACAAAAATTGTAAAATATGTTATTTTAGTGTATGTACCATATTTATATGCATATGCATGTAGTAAAAACTGTTATTTCAATATTACAAACAGACATCCAATTTTATTTATATGTATAGATGCATTTGATTTATCTATTCTCAAATTAATTTATCTCAAATTATTATTTTGTATATTGATGATAGTGAATTAGAATGGAATAGAAAATCATTTATTCAAATAAACTTACATTGAAGCACTTTTGAATAGTCATCACATTTTTTTTAATCAACCACTCATTCGGAAAGCTCATCACAAGAAGAACGAGTAAGAAACTTGTGTGTTTCTCTTTTAAATAATTTTATTCTTACTTACAATTTAAGTTCAAATGTGTGAAAAAATTTAATTATATTTTATGTGTACAAAATATATATGGGTACAAAATTATATAATTGATTAATAAAAAAATATATAATGCCAATACATGCATGTCCAATTTTATGATAATTGGTTTAGTTTAAAAAAAAACAAGGAATTAGCAAGTCACACATTTTTCACATTATGCTTCTAAAATAACATATAAATAAATTACCATAAATAATAATTTAATTTGAATATTATTTATTGTCCTTGACAGAAATTTCTTATTCTCATGTATTTAAAATACCGCTTATTTTATATATTTTTTTATTTAATTGATTTATATTTAATTATTCACTTAACCTCACACAAATTAATCAATTTAAAATATATAAATTCTCTATGGATAATATTTAATCCAATATTGCTACTGAATATAATACATCGTCAATACATTTGTGAATAATAATTAATGATTACCTTTTTTGATTTCAAATAAATAACTAACAAAATGGTGTCTGTTACAAGAGGTGATTACAAAATCATTCTATATTATGTGCAGTATTTTTATACCACTGTAGTTGATAGGTATTCATCTGAATATAAATACATTGATTATGTTAAAATTAACTAGGTAGGTATGTATAAACATATTCACAATTACTGTTATCAGTAATCAGTTGGCAACAAAGAATTTAATTAGAATTATTTAAAGCTTAAAACTTTAAACAAATGATGGTGAAAGAGGTGGTTATTAGTTTTTTGTTTTTGTGTGGATGATAATGGAAACGCGAAAGGATTACGCTGGCGGGGCACCAGTGGACGATGATAATATGAGCATGTGGTCAGGTCAGTTAACCCATCGTGGCAAACCCACATGTATTTTAATACGATGGTTACCAGGGGGAACCGCATGGAGGTCGACCTGACATGGTGCATTGCTAGCAATGGGGTTATCAATCCACATTACTAACAATCCTCTTTCGCCCCGGTGGTTACAAAATACGTGGGGATATGAGGAGCATATAACAACTGTATTTTAAGAGGGATTACTGGTGGGAAGGGGCTTTAAAGTAACAGGGTTTATTGTCCCCATTACTAGCAATGTACCATGTTAGGACGACCTCACAGTGATTCACCCTGGAAACATCGTGATAAATTCCCAGTGAATTTGCCACAATGGACAAACTGATCTGACCTCATGCATATCTTATATCCTCCACTGGTGCCCCGCGAGCGTTAGCGCAGGGGACGCAAACCATTCGCTTTATCACCTATAAAATTAACTTACATGAACGACTTCAATATCCAACTTTTCAGTTCTTTCCGATCGATGAACTGGTCAGCATTCAGGTCCATCTTTGTCAGCAGCAGCCCAAGCCTCCGCCGAGACTCTTCAGGCTTCAGTTTGTCAAATTCCTCCGCTTCTTTCACACTGCCTATTGTGAAATAATATGTTACAATCAACATAACCGGAACTAGCAGTACTAAAGCGTGTTTTATTGACATCGCGCGCAGTACCTGCAGCATTTCTTATCAATGACTAACGCTTACAAAATATAGCCGGCGTCGCGCGACGTCATAAAAGCAAAAAGGTTGGAAATAAAATGCGACACCTAATATGGCCTCATGATCGAACTCAGAGTTGTGTCCAGCGTCACTGTAGTGATCATAATCCCTCGCACGGAAACTGCCATCAGACTCTCGCTCCAGATTGTCCACGCTGTGGCTGTGGACCGCAGCTGATGCACAATGCAGTATTATGTTGTGAGTCAATAAAAGAATAAAAGACAACACGTATTTTAAAGACATTTTACAGCACTTCCTCTGCAATGTTGGTGTAATACATTGGACTCCCAATTCGTGCTTTTGTTATGTTAATTTCTTTATGAAATGTTTTTATTCAGAAATAGAATCACAGGAATAATAATAAATTAAGGTAATGAATGACATAAGACATACGAACGAAGATATCAAAACAAAATATGACATGCAGTCAGTTAGATGAGATGATATGTCAATATCTTCATGACTGACAGCACGATGATAACTAGGGATGGAAGTATGCGTACAGTTCCCTTCCTTTCTTTTATTTAAAGAAAAAACATAACTAAAGTTTAGATTAGAAGTTAGTTTTTTATTACATATTCATTCAAATCAAAATATCTTTATTCATGTAGGTCTATTACAGACTCTTATGATATGTCAAATCTACCGTCAGTTCGGAATGATTTCGAGATCAGAAGAACTGACAAGAAACTCAGCTCGTATTCTTTTCAAATAAATGTACATGTTTACAACAATACAGATTCTTTATAGCTAGCATATGCTATTGCAAAAGCAAAAAGTCTAATCAGTGTTAGTAACTTGAAGAGACTAGACACAAAAGCAGCAACCGTTCACGAGGTAGGATACTGTTAAAATGTTAAAAATATAAAAGAAAGTAGATTTTGAGAGATGGGGCAAGGGGATTATAAACTATCTACATTGATCGTGGTGAACGTAATATACTCACATTATTCCGAGTATAGTTGAAACCAACGTACCTAGAGGCAAGGCTACTGTCGCCACTCATATATATTAGTTTGTTTACGCTGTTCTCCATCTTCATAGAGTAGTATATAAATATTAGTGGACGCAAAGTATTTTTGGTGTGGGCGGAATTTGAACTCACCACCTTATCTGAGTCTAAAGCGAGTAGTAAACCACTGGGCCAGAATGCTCTTTAAAAACTTTATTAATCTGTCTAGTTACTTATCTTAGTAAATTTCTCTATAAAATGTGTCTTACATTTTATAGAGGCCAAGGTTTTTTTTCAGTCGAGATTTATGTAATTGGGAAATAAAATAAAAATATTTTACAAATTGTTTTATTTAAAAAATCAACGTATGCAAAATAATTTTGATATTATTTCAATAAATTATCTGAAGCCATAACAATCAATGTAACTCTGCGACCGGCCACGTGACTTGGATAAGATTTAAGAAACATCTTGAGGTGTTTCCGCACTTCACCGACAACCAGCGGCAAATGAGTTCTGGTGGCGGGATCCGCAGTATTTAAATGTATAATAGCATCTTCCAAATATCTGTGGACAATATAAAATTATTACTTATGTAATCTAGTATTTCTTGTACGTTATTTATTACTTATATATAAGTTACAGACATTTTTATTTTTTTTAACAACTCAATATGCAAGAGTGTCGAAAGAAAGTGATACTACAACTTAGACCAAAGGGTAGGTATTAATAGATTTGACTAGCTATTATTCGCGACATCACACACGTGAAATTTAACTTTTTTAAATTTAATATCTGCCAGTGAAATTCCTGTCAAAATCGGTCCAGCCGTTTCATAACTTAGCAAGAACAAATATACAGATGGACAGACAAAATTGATTCTTTATTTTTTATGTTGGTACCATATATACTTTTTAGACACTTCGATTTTATTTATTTGTATAAATGTCATTATAATCGCTTATTTCTGCTGTCAAGCAATTTCCTTATAATCTGTGTTTAGGTTGTAGGGTGCAGATTAGGCAGGGAAATTGCAGGATAAGCTACCAAGCAGCTTGCTTGCTGGTAAGTGCTGCTTCAGTTATAGAGCGGTGAAATTATAAGATAGAGGCCGTTCTAGTATTACGTAAGCATTATGGCATTATTTTGGATTTGGGGAATCTAGATGATGATTATGTCATCGGAAGTTATTTACTTTTTTACACGAATGGCAATCCTCGCATTGTCATTGCTAAAAAAATAATACATTAATTGAAAAATTCGAAAGACGATTTTTTCCATTTAGTGGTCAAACTTCACCAATTATATAAAAAAAAATTACCTGCACTTCAGCTGCGTGTCATGCACCATATCAGTAGCCAGCTGCTGTATCAATGACAGAAGGACCGACTGTTCCAGTTTACATGGCGCTGCGAACACCGTCGCAGGGTCAGCAGCGCGGCATGCAGTCATCACCAGACCCAAGTCTGATGCTGATAGTGCTTTCTCAAATGAGCTGTTGACGTCGCCATCTTCGATTAGCTTGTTTATTTCTGCTGTTTGCATCTATATACAACATTCTAAAGTTGTAACATACTAAGAACATTTTTCGGACTACTCTATGGCCGCAACTGGCCTTTACAGCTTCACGGGAGGATAGGGGGCGATTGCAGATGGCACTCCAAACGAGCGAAAAGACTTTTGGAGCGGCTGAATGTTAATTGCGTCCTGATGGATATCGGTATCGGTGGTGGATGTAATTTCGGTCTCCGTTGAAAAAGCTAACTATAGCTCTTTTGCTTGTAATACAACCGTGACTTGAAATTTACAAGGGAGCAAGCTGACCCTTCCCGAAATTTTTAACAGTTACTTAAATATAATTTGAACTGCGGCCCACCCTAAATGGAGGCCTCTTCTGAGCCAGAAGAAGGTTGTGATGTTATTTATTCTATTTTTGTAAATTAATTTTAAGTCTACCTGCTTTTAGGAGGCAGTTGACCCCGTGGGTCTTTACCCCTGGAGTCGATGTCGGGGCATAAGGGGGCCTCGAGGCCCCAAAGTGCACCCTCCTAGGGGTACCATGGAACTCCACTATCTGCCAACTTCATTGACAAGTCTGACAACTTGCCATGAGGTTGATTGTAAGATTACTTGCTACTTTAGTTAAAAATACGTGACGTTTATGATTACCATTTGGTCTATAATAGACAATTCAGTGCCAGCTGGCTGCGGCGAGCTCACGGGCGCACATTCCAGCGGCGGGGTGCACGGTTCTAGTTCTTCCAATATACAGTCAGGTGCATTTATTGACAGCACTTCCAGAACCTTCTGTCGCCATTCCATTAATTCGTTTTTCAGTAATCTGTTTAAAGTTAGTAATAATAATAACCCTGGACAATCTATACAGCGTCATCTAGTCTACCCTATAGTTAAGCTAAGCAGAGCTTGTGTTATGGGTACTAAATATAATAATAATAATAATAATCTCAGGACAATTCACACAGACCCAAGTTAAGCTAGCTAAAGCTTGTGTTATGAGTACTATATAACTGATACAAATACATAGATATTTTTTTCTAAATACATACATATTATATATAGAAAACACCCAGACCGACTCATGAATATAAATGTTTGTGCCGTGCAAGGAATCGAACCTGCGACCATCGGAAGTAAGGCAGTGTATTAAACCACTAGACTACCGAGGCCGTCTAACTAAATAACTGATATAAATACATTTTTGTTGTAAATACATACACAATATACATAGAAACCATCGGAAGTAAAGCATGTTAAACCGCTAGACTGAGCTGTTATGGAAGTTAGGTAAATTAGTTGTAAATTCACCATAAAGATGGAGGGAAGTCAATCTGACATGGTACATTGTTAGCAATGGTGGTTACTAACAATCCCCCTCCCCCCAGACCACCGAGGTCATCGAATGTTTACTAATCTAAATATATATAACTCAAAGGTGACTGACATAGTGATCTATCAACGCACAGCCCAAACTACTGGACGGATCGAACTGAAATTTGGCATGCAGGTAGATGTTATGACGTAGGCATCCGGTAAGAAAGGATTTTGATCAATTCTACCCCTAAGGGGATAAAATAGGGGATGGAAGTTTGTATGAAACTTTGTCAATTTCAAACCGATCGGGCTGAGACTTTGCATGCATAAAGCTACTATGACGTAGGCATCCACTAAGAAAGGATTTTGATAAATTCCACCCCTAAGGGGATAAAATAAGGCGAGCGAAGCCGCGGGCAAAAGCTTGTTAGTAATATTCGTATTAGGAAGGAGCTAGGCTGGCTACGCTAGTAGTCTCGGCTCTACACCAATGAGAGGAAGATTGTGGAAAACAGAGTCCAATTCTCATTATAATATTCGTATTTTAAATATTTAGATGAATATTACGTACTCTTCAACAGTATATTGTAGAGTATGTAGGAGGTTGCCCCTGTTTGTGTGATTCTCCAACAGATGTCGGTGCTGGTCGAGGGCGTTCCGTAGAGCGCGCCAAGTTTTATGCGCGTGTCTGGTGAACGAGCCCGAATTCTCTTCAACTGTAAATTAATAAATAAATACTTTAGATGTCTCTTAATATTATAAATCTACAAAATACGTGTATATTTTAATGTATATTCACAAATCTTTGAATATCTTGGCTTCCTCTATATTATAACACACATGTATTATACATTATCTATAGACCTTTGAAACTTCTCGAATAACTATTTTTTGCTGAAATCTGCATTAAAAACCTTTGGGTAATTTAAAAGGTATAAAGGTATAAGGGCCCTTATACCCTTATATAGTACAAAACAAACAAATAGAAGTGACAGTGGCTACATTTTTGTTTTATACTATGTAAAGAATATACATATTATTATAAACGTGAAATTTTAAGAATATGAATGGATATATGTTTGTTATTCTTTCATGCAAAAACTACTGAACGGACTTTGATGAAACTTTACAGTATCAGAATAACACATAGGCTATAAATTTCACGCGGGGAAAGCGCGGACAAAGCTAATCAGAGAAAAAACTTTCACTGCATTTTTTTTTAAACTAAATTTAGCAAGTAGTTTTTTTTTCGGACTTCTCTAATGCTGTTGGCCGCAGCTGGCCTTTACAGCTTCACCGGACGTTATGGGGCGAGTGCAGATGGCACCCCAAACCCGCGGAAGGACTTATGGAGCGGCTGAAGGCCAACTACTGCCTGACGGATACGACTTTAGTCTGAGGGCATCACTAGGGGTTCGAACCTCGGCTCAAGCTGTCGTAATTTCGATCCCCGTTTGAATCAGAGGAGCGCCCGGGGGCGCCGGTGTGGAGCACCCGGGCGAGCGCAGGCGCCCGGTTGAATGAGCGATATTGTGTGTTTGAGGTCGTCGTCTTCGCCGGCGAGGACGGTGTCGTGTGTGTGTAAAAGTGTGGTCGGGTTGGCACTTAGCAAGTAGAGTCCGTACTTAGTAAAGAGCCACTACATACATCTTTTCCAAATAACTCGACATAGATAAATGTTCTACCAATACTCACTTTCAGTGAAGGCCCCCTCCACAGCCTTGGTGACATGTTTAACGAGTCGCCGATGCGACCTTTCCAGCACGGGCAGGTACAACGTAGACATGTCTTGCGTGATGCACTTCTCTATGACACTTTTGACTGAGCTCGCAGTTGCCGCCAACATGCTCTTTTTTAAATCCTTTTGAAGGCATAAAACATTATTGAGTTTTTTATGAGATTAAAAAAAAAGCATAATAAACATAAAAAAAAATTGGGACCAATCTGAAAGTATAGAGTATACTTTCAAGATGATCTCATTTTTTTTAAAGTTCCAATCTTCTAATAAAAAAGTGTTTTACAAATCGGTTTATAAGTGTTGGAGTTATTATTCCTTAAAACGCTTGTTTAGGGGAATTGATATTGTGGTATTCCATAAGAGGGCCTTTAACCCACACCATACAAACCCTGAGATCTTCACGTCTATATCTGACGCCCATAATATTAGATTGTACATATGAATATTTCGCGTAACGGAAATAAGTATTTTTAATATCAATAATTAATATAGAGCATAATATATACAGCTATAACGCGCTCATGCTACGCAGCTAAGCACAGTGAAAAATAATCTGTGGCGCTAGTTGTTTGCGCGGGAAAATAAAAGAGTTTAATTAAAGATCTATGTTTTGTGTTGTCAATATTATAGTAAAAGTGAATTGAATTGGAACCTCCGCTATTTTTTTAAATACGTTAAAAACTTTATTTGACTGTTAAGTTTTGTTTGCATTGAAACTTACATCGCTCTGCAGGAATTTTGTCATCGCGTCCTTTATTTCGCTGTCCAGAGAGTACGCCTGCTTGAACTCTATGGCATCGAGTAGACTTTTAGCCCGGCTGTTCGTCTTTTCTTCAGAGCAGTTAACTTCTGCTTGTTTTATGCTTGATTGTTCCATTAATTTACTGTAAATAACAATATTGTTTTATGTACCTGGTATAGCCAATGTGATTTTTTGCCAACAGTTACAAAAAGTAGGTAACTATTTGCACATATTATTTATTATTTTTTTAAATTACAAGGTATTAAAAAATGTTGTTTATTCAAATATCAGAATTTCTTATGTAGGTATATTTGTGAATAGAATTGAAAGACAGATAATATTTTTAAGAAAAATCGTACCTGATTATAGATGTTAATATAAAAATTTACATATAGAACCATTCCTGCTCACCTCTGATTAAAAAATTTTGATATTAAATCAATTGAATACTGGTTGTTGAGTTGACCGGAGTTTTCTATAGCGGACATCGACTCGCGGATCTCTCCCTGTATCGCGTGCAGCAGACTACACTGCTCCAAGAACAAATCTAAGTACAAACAAAACAATATGGTTTATAACTATCAATAAGAATTAAACCAATCATTCTGTAAGAAATAACGAAGCTTGTCGTAACAAATCGTTTTTGCCGAAAACATCATTTTGTATTCCACTGCATAGGGTTGGAAGCCTATTGCTAGCTATGTACCATGTCAGGTTGATCTCCACACAGTTACCCCTGGAAAACATTGAGATAGTTCCTGGGACATTTATCATGATGGGCTAACTGACCTGACCTCATCTTATCATCCTCCACTGATGCATTATCAATTAATAAATATATGTTGTATAACATAGCGGTTTCTTTGTATTTATTAATTGTGCGCAAGTTATTATTATTATTATTAAATTACAATTAACAACTTAACCTTAATCTACACTGAAAACTATTGTTGTGGTTTATTATCGGTGAAATCATGACAATGGGCTAACTGAGCTAAACCTATAATCCACCACTGAGAATTCCGTCAGCGTATTCTAATATTCATTCATAAAACAAACGCATCCATCATTATAATATAGAATCCAAGAGCTTAAGCTAATGGGTACATATTGTGTAGATGCCGAAAGGTCCTATGTTATGAAGTAACTTTCAATTTGAATTTTTATAAGAAACTAGCTGATCCGCTCAACTTCGTCTGTACACACTCACTCAATTTACATTATATATTTTAAATTATAGCCTGTGTTATTCTGATATTACTGTAAAGGTTTATCAAAATCCGTTCAGTGGTTTTTGCGTGAAAGAGTAACAAACATCAATTCATAGTCACAAACTTTCGCGTTTATAATATTACTAGCTACTCGCCCCGGCATCGCACGGCTGTATTGTACATTCCTCTTCCTCTATTTATTAAAAGAAACCGCTTATGGAAATGCTTTGAGTAGTTTTAAAGATATAAGAATACATAGAGACAGACAGCGACAGCGACTTTATTTTATACTATGTAATGATAATGATGTTATTAAGATAATATAGGTACTCACCATTCAGCTTATCAATCTTCTGTTCCAAAACGGTGTACCTTTCACTGTTCAGCGGCAACTTATCACCCAATCCGCTGTCCTGCATCCGTTTAGCATCTCCCAATGAGACATCAGACTCAAAATCGTTGACAATGTATATCTCCACTGACGAATCACTTATCCTGCGGCTATATCCTCTACAGCTGGGGAAAGTGATCTCTTTAACGCCCTCATTTTGTAATGAACACATTGATTTTGACCTTTCTGTGAATTGTTCATCGTTCTGGTTTGATTTACGATCCATTTTCTCTTTATAATATTTCTAGACTTTTTAAAATCTCGTTAAAAACTTAATATCAATTAAAATCACTATGTTTTTTAATATTAATTATAATTATTTTACAATGAAACTGAATATTAATTAGGATGTTTGTCGTATTTACTTTTCTACTACCCACATATTAAATTTGTAACGGATGCAATGAATAATTGTAGGTAGGTAGTTTTGTTTTTGTATTAAAAATGTAATTCACTTGTGTTTACACAATTACCATGTACATTTATCGAATCGTTATTCTACGGGAAGTATAATTCTCGTCTGTCTACCCCAAAATATAAGGAAACATGTATGAATATAAAGTATGATATGAAATGGAACGAAATTCATTTATACAAATTGGTGACTGTTAGATAAACTTGGACTAAAAACTCAAAATGTGATATAAAAATAGTAGACAGTAAATTATGATATGAAATCTATATTTATTATTAATATTAAATAAACTAGGCGTAGTCCTCATCGCGGCCTGTGAATATAGCCTAATATGTTACTACTGGCACAGATAATATAATATTACTATTATATTATCTGTGATATTACATAGTACTGGATAATAACCAAAGCGAAAGAAAGATTTCAAAATCGGTAAAGTTTTTTCAAAGTTCATTCATATTATAAATATACAAAAATTTTATGTTTCCTATTTATAATATTAAGTATATTAACAATATGTTAGGCTTCAGTTTCGACAAAAAAACAATGGGACCAACTCGAGAGTTAAATCTATCTGTCAACTAAAACAATTGCCATCTAAAATTAGTAATTATGCTGAATATGTAATGCAATTCAATTTATTAAGATGGAGTACAATATGAATTTTATGGACATCAGTGACTGGTATGAAACTAGTTTAATTAGCTTACGAGTTGAAATAAAACGACTATTACAAATCAATAGGCTTTTATTTATACATTTCTTACATTAGCTTGAAGTTTAGAAAATGCGTTATAAAACACACAGACAGTCATTTAATACTAACAGATATAATGCTATATTCTGGTGCACCACCAGCAATAGCATTTTTAATTAATAAAAACAAATTTTTAAAGATAATTTAACAATAAACAAAACCGTTATCCAAATCTAAAACTAAGGGGCTGAGATTGTAGTGATGGGGATTACAGATGCATTACTAGTAATACTCTAATGGGTGCTCCCCGTGGACCCTCTGGAAACCATTGTAATTTGTTCCTGGAGAATTCACCATCTGACCTCAAGTTCATCCTATCGCCCTCCACTGGCGCCCCGTAAGCGTATACCATCAGCACTAGCGAATGATATAATCACCCAATAAAAAAAATGAAGTCGTATCACGTTTTCATAATTGAAAATCATATATCAAAGCGAAAAGAATATAAATTTCTTTAGCAGTCTCGTCTTACAACGTTACCTAATACTTAAGCTCGTATGTTTACATTTGCAACTGGCAAATTTTTTAGTTTATGTTAATTTTTACACAAATATTTTTATGACTACGTACTGGAATTGAATGAAGTTACTTTGTCTTTCGTGGTACGGATAATTTCGAAGCGATACTGAGGTTGAAACACCGTACTCACCCTGAAGAACACTCCTGGATTATGGTAACATAAATAAAATGGGCACATAGTAAGTTCATTAAATTCCATATACGACAACAATACTTAGTTATAAAAATATTAATAATTTGTACATATTCATAAGACTTCAAATGTCAGTTTATTAAATAAGAAACCACTGCAATAGCGTTACGAAATTCGCGGTTTATTATGTAATGTTGTTGATAACAATTCTCAATTGTGACAGATATAATACTATCCATAACTACTATCCATATGTTTGCAATTTTATTAGGGAACTGTAGAAATCTTGGGCGAATGTGAAAGCGTTCCCATGTCCTCAGCGATATGTTTGAAGAAATGTTAGAAATAGCCGTAAGGTTTGTACACCTGTAACAATTACTCGTCTCACGTCTTTATATATTGGTGTACCTTGAGATTCTCTAAACCTCCATCAAATAACGATTTTATTAATTTTCTTTTTCCAAACAATAGTTTTGAAATGAATTGCTCGCTAATCTTTATATATAAAAATTACGTGTCGTTGTTTGTCCGCGATGGACTCCTACTACTGAACCGATTGGAAATTTGATTTACACATTGTGTGCAATTTCATAGCTCATATCTTAATTTATGGTCGCAATATTATTTTATTCAAGAACCTTTGCCACAGCAACGCGTGGCCAGGTCTGCTAGTAACGAATATATATCTGTAAGCTATTCACAAAAAAAAAAACCAAAGCATTATGTACTATCGACGGACCGAATAATTAACCAGCCTTGTATCGTAGTTTGTAACAATAAGAAAGTCATATGAATTAAAAAAAAGGAGCTTACACTACTGTAGCATTGCAAAACATTTGCATTCTCTGTTAATTTTTTAAAATTATTACTAAATTTTGCCAAATATAAGGTACTACCTATATATGAATAATTAATAAAATAAATAATACCTAAAATGTTCTCATAAAAAAAGAATGCAATAACACTGCACTGAATTTTTTTCAGTTCAGAGTATAGTCGTATTTTTAATTAGACGAAGCTAGCTGACAGTAGCTAATGTCACATTGTAAAATAATGTTGCCATATTTAAAGTAATAGTGATGCGTTCAGTTCTCAGTTAGATGAATGAACAATGAGTGTGAATAGTTAATCATTACAAACTACAAAAGAAAATTGTATAAAAGTGCTCTGATATAAGTTACTAGTAACTACAATCAGTTTTTTGACGGCTTATTACAAAGCGCGCGGCTACTAGTGCCAACACAAATCAACGTCGCGAGCGTCTGTCGCCATTTTGTTCGTAATTCGGCTTCTAACCTCTGGTCTGAGAGCACGAAATGTTTTTTTTGCGCTCACGCTGTTTTATTAAGTTTTTCCTCATGTTAATTTTTACACAATATTGTGTTTGTGGTAATTGTTGGGTATATTGTATATTTACTATATTGTTTCATACAAACAATATGGATCCTCAACCAAGCACGTCAAGCCAAAGCTTGTCTCCAAGAAAGACGTTACCGAAAAACTTATGATACAAAACGTCTACAAATACGTATTTGAGAAAGCTGCTTCACTATTACCTATTGAGGCTCCCAAAAAACAAATGTATTTCGAAAACAGCTGACATTTTGGGAATTGGTGTGACCTCAGTCTACAATGTATTAAAATAATACAAAGTGAACAATTTAAGTCTCCGGAGAAACGTGGAGCGAAACACTGTTTCAAAGATAAATTATTATCAATTTTTAGACAGATTTATAATTAATGTCACTGAAAGCGAAAATGATTTTTTTATCTGATGATGAATAAAAACAAATTTTGTAATAAGCGCAGTTTTTTATTTTTATTACCTAACTATATTATGTTATATATTGTTATATTTTTTACATATTTAGTTTCAATTACATTATGAATTGTAATTAGGACAGTCTTAAAAGTTTCCACGCAATTTTTTCTTTACGTTTAAAATACTCGGTATTCAGTATAGGTAGATACAATATAACATAATCGTCGTAAACTCGTTGGTATGTATAAAGCACGGCTAAAATTCAAACCCCGTACCCGATATCGGCAGTTCGGCACACTAACTATTCACTAGACAATCGCGGCAATTCCATTAATTCAGGAGTTTTTTCAATGATTCACTTTGTCACAACACTATTTTTATTTCATCAAATACTGACAACACAGTAAACGTCAGTTGACTTCGTCTAATTAAAAATATGACTATAGCGTGTTATTACATTTTTTTTATTGTTAAGGATTGTGATTACAAAAAACCTATTTGAAAACTTCGAAAGTTAAGTATGACATAAATGTACATACATTTTATTTCTTGCTTTTGAATTTAGTGCTGCATATACATCCTTAAGGACGTTAGTTCATATTTGGACAACAAAAAAAGTCAAGTGTTCTGTCACAACGATGTTACTAATTAACAATTCCTCTGACTACCCCATCCCGGATAACAGTCATGACGGTATGTGTAGGTAGGAAAATATATGTAATATAAAAAAAAACTGCTGATGTTGCGAAAATTCAGTAGCAACTGCTCTTACACAATTAGATTCGTGAAAGACATTCAGAGAGAGATAGAACATCTAACGCATACTCACAAAAGAGACGACTATAGAGGTCTTTTAAAAACCTTAGCACTAAATAATAATCACTTTCAGTCACACACATTGTTTATAATTTCACTTTAATATAATCAATATCACGTTATAATCGTATGCTAGTAATCATCGAAGTCGAATGACGCATTTATAAAAAAAAATAAGACTTGAAACCATCTGACAGAGAAAAACTAAAAAAAAAAAACTTATAACAAAAAAAACACTGAACTACTAAAAAACACGATCTAATATATGCTTTAATTTAGTCACTAAATAAAATATTAGAATACTTCAATATAATATGGTTTTTATCACGTCATGTTTAACATGGCTGTATAGGCTAATTACCTTAGCAATGTGTATTGTCTTTAAAAAAATAATAACATTGTTATTTTCAACATTATGTTATTTTATAGAAAATCGACTTCAAACGCATTATCAAAGATAACTCAAATCAGATCTTCATTAAATTTGAATATGACCACATGAGAAGCAACAAATATATAATAATAAAAGAATTACTTAAATTTGTTCACCTAGAAACAAATTCTAAAAAAGTTTAATTGAGAATCTGCTCCTTTTTGTGAAAAACAGCAACCCATTGTTGAAAACACAGGTGTTATGCAAAAAATGCTGTTAATGTACAGAAGGGACTTCTTTGGAAATCAGTTATCACCTTTCCTGCAATGGTATTTCTGAACCGATACAATATAGGAACATAAAGCGTATGCAACTCACACGTTAAAGGGGTGGGGGAGAAGTCGAAGATAATAATATCTCAGGACAATCCAAATAGCGCCATCTAGTCCCAAACCAAAGAAAGCTTGTGTTATGGTACTAGACACTTTTTTGTAAATACATATAAAATGTACATAGAAAAGATCCAGACCGATACAAATGTTTGTACCGTGTGGGGAAACGAAACCGCGACTATGGGAAGGCGATGTTATAAACCGCTTATAAACCACCGAGGCCGATCAAGTGTGAGTCGACATACAGTATGGTTGTCACTAGGCCTCGTCCTTGGGGGGTTAATCATGAAATTCGTGTGCCATACTTTATAAATAACCCTAAAATGGATTCATAAGTAACAATCACGGTAAATATTACACCACAAGTTCACTAAATCAATTGGACGTCAAATCATTCTCAATCAGTCACGTCACAAGTTGGCCCAATTTAAAATCACTGATTTAACTACATAGTTATAAGTGCGGTCACACTTTCCGTTCAGTACGACCTTGTCTTATACCACATCGTTCTGATTGGCTAGATCACTGTTATTTGACTACATACATATATATAAGTGCGGTCTCATATTCGGCTCAATGCCACCGTTGTTCTATGCAACATCGTCCTGATTGGTGCATATAGATTGGGGGCGAGGCATAGTAACCGAATGTGCCAATCGAACGCATACGACAATCATCCGACTGAATCGAATAATATGACCGCCGTAACACTGGTCAATATTAACACTAACTGCTGAGGTATCGCGTGCCGAGTCGTAGCAGTTGCTACAGCTACATGGACCTTAATTCGCCTGACGAAGGTTCGTATTTACATATCATACGCTCCGCCAGGTGAGTTGACGTGTACCTTCAGGTGCCACAGTTTACATATAATTGTGAGAATAGCTGTATTTAAACGTACGGTTTTTCACGCGCAAATATGCTATCACACAGGAAAGAATAAGTGTATAAATATGGACAAAGAGAACAAGAGACCGCGCGAGCTAACAGTGCATTGCCGTGTTCTTCAATCGTGCGTAATTTAGTGCTTTTGTTAAATAATACATTTTTATTTCAAAAAGTTGGAGATGTAATTGTAGAGTTAGTGATATTATATATAAAGTTAGTGATATTTTTTTAATCATAAACATGTCTAGAAAATGAAATATGTGAAATTAAAAATAAAGTTTTAAAAGAAGGTGAAATGAAATATATCATACGCGCTATCACCCGCTATCACAAAAGATAGTAAAATGCAATCCCTCACGATTGCTCGTGTAGGTTAAATCGCGTGAAAAAACGTAAAGGCAGCTAATACAGATCTGTCTCACTATTTTTTTTATCTATATATTTCAGTTTGATCTGTATAAAATTACTATATATTTAGTACAAAGTCTTGTAAGTGAATTGAAGAAATTTCTACAGACATTTGTCACTATGGGCTATCTAACCTGACCTATGTTTCAGTAGCTTATTTATAAAATATATCTGCACTTGAAGAGCACAGTTCAATGAGTATCAACATATGTCGAGCAATTACACGCGAGTGACTAAGGAATAACCCTTAGCCAGGGAATAGAGCCGGTCTTTCTAGGTATCTTTGCCTATATTGCACATACTTTCTTGTGTGAAAGAGCGTACGTGTAAAGGCAGTTAATTTTGATAATACGGTACATATTAACACAGCCTTTTCTTCTAATTCTTTCAGCAGCTAAATTATAAAACCTATATCTCCACTTTATGAGCACAGTTCAATGAGTATCAACATATTTAACACAGTTACACGCGAGTGTTTTACATCAGCCGGGACTAGAGCCGGTGTACAGTTCTGTAGTGGTCACAAGCACAGTGGCAGCAGGGCCGCGGTCAGACTGCACTCTTCACCAGTGATTCGGTGGCCATCAGTAGCATTTTGAACTGCCGCGCGAGCGCATGCCCCGGGTTCGACTTTAGGAAGGCCACGATCTGCTTTTGCAGCTCCCGTATGACTACGGGTAGGTGCTCGCGGGTGACCGGACTCGCGGTGTCTAGGTTCATTACCGCTTCTTCTAGGTACCTGTAATAATTTAGAGTCGTATTAATATAGGTATCTATAGACCGATCTAAACTGGTAGAGTAGCAAGGTTTTGGATGGTAACGTGGCGTAGAGAGACAAACGATTAACTTTGGAATACTAATGTCGGTATTCTCGTCAGGTACTAGACTAGCGAGGTGACCAGTGGCCACCACCGGCAGCGGGTACTAGAGTAGGAGAGTAGGTGAGACCTGTGCTTGAGGTGGGTGTCGCGCGTCATGTCGGCGGCGAGCTGCTGCACGAGCGACAGCAGCACGTGCTGCTTGAGGTGGCAGGGCGGCGCGAACACGGCCGCGGGGTCGGCGGCGCGGCACGCGGCCACCACCAGCGCCAGGTCCGACGCAGACAGCGCCAGCTGGAACGCGCCGTTCACGTCCCCGCTGCTCATCAGCGACTGAATTTGGGCCACTTGCATCTGGGTACATTCACATTCATATTAATTGTTGAAATAGTTGAATCATTTATATAGATATTTAAAAAACATAAAACGGTTGAAATATACTCTTACATATAAATAAATAACAGTATTTGAATTACACATAATAAAATAAATTATAAGAACCAGCAGATACACTGATCCGGCTCGAAGGATCACTAAATCACTTAAACGTTTTTTTTTTATTTACATTAAATTACTAACAATCCCTAAAAGAGATGTACAATGAACGAATTCTATGAAAATGATGTGTTAATGTTTCTGAACAATTTGAATGAAAACGAGATGGATAGATGCGAGAGGGATAGCCAGAGGAGCGACAAGCGAACATTGTCCGCTTTGTTGTCAGAACAATAACTCTGATTATGCTAACTCCGCATACATGTGGAATGGAGGTGTTTTGTGATCTGCCCTCTCTACCTACCCTCTAATTTGTGTCTAACTCTACTGTGAATATAGATATAATTATAGCAACTGCGACAAAAGGTAAAAGATTATACTTGTAAGAGATAGGGTAAAGATTCTTGAACGCAATTCCTTGTTACGTTACGGTGCGGTCTCTGGAAGGAAAGTATATATAATTGCAAACATAAAATTGCAAATATCTGGCGTTCTACTTAATGGATAATTATCGTTAGTTAGGGAGTTGCAAAACTATGACTTTCACAATTTAGATGATTATAAAGATGGATACACGTGGTGAGCGTGTGTGTACGCACGTGTTAACGTGTCATGTGTGTGTGTTCGCGTGTGTCAGAGTGGCGAGTGTGTGTGTACGTCCTTATCATGGCCTAGAGACGTGACGGTGTGCCGCTCATTTGTTTACGTCTCTCTCCTCGCGGCGAGAGTGCGTGCACGCCCGTTTGCATGTAAGTGTGTCGTCGGTATCGGCGTGGCGCGTGTGTTTACGTCTCTGTCAGCGTAACGAGTGTGTGCACACATTTAAAGACGTGGTGCTTGTGTGTGTGCCCGTGTAAGGGTGGCGAGTGGATGCGTACGTGGTCGGTGTGTCAAGTGTGTGCACGCACCTGCCTGTCGGCGACGGAGGAGGTGGCGGGGGTGTGCGGGGCGGCGGGCGTGTGTGCGCGCGACATCTGCAGCGCCACGCCACGCGCCTGCTCGCGCCACCACGACAACTCCTTCTCCAGCACCCTGTGACATACGGACGCACATATTACTTATGTCAAACCCCTACACGACTAAATATAGTGTTAGGATCTTCTACTTCCTTGTGCAGTGCATACAGTGCAGCACGAGCAGTCTAGCGTCGTGGCTCTCGTGGGAAATACATCATAGCGTGCCGCTCCAGCGCTGCACGCAGCGATACGTACGTGTGCGCGGTCTCCTGCAGCGCGGCGCTGAACTGCTGCATGGGAGGCTGCGCGGAGGCGGCCGCGAGTGCGCTGGCGTGCCGCTCCAGCGCTGCACGCAGCGAAGCCGTCGCTGCAGCGCCGCCGCGCTCAGCTGCTGCGCGAGCTGCCGCTTCCGTATTAGCTGCGACTGCATTTACGATTGGGATATTCAGTGATTTTGTCAAATGTAAGGCTGTACATGGAAATAAATACATAACCAGATGACATTCACCGAGCTGTAAAATATGACATAGTAGGTATGAAAAACATTAGCATTCCATGCAGTGCGGGTGCAGGGTCCATCGGGCAAAGAGGGAAACTCCGAACAGTTCCCGGGTATAGGTTTAAAGGGCTCCTCTGTCGACCTACGCACGCGTTTACGCTCGCGTTTCTCTATTCTACCAGATTTTTATTCTTGTAATCTTTGTTCTAGTTTTAGCTAATTGGACATTGACTCACATTCTTTGGTACCATTCTGGAAGGCGTTGTTGATCTGCCTGAAGATCTGCGCGTGCGCCTTCTCCATGACGGGCACCACGCTGTCGAATAGCGCCGTCCGGAACGAGTCCCGCACCATGTCGGCCAGCGACGCAGCCACCGACGTGCTCAGCCGGTCCATTACCGTCTGCACACGGCACAATCACTAATCTTAGTCTTAATCAATATATTTAAAATAAACAATATATTTGGATTAAACAAATGACCCAAAATTGTAAGTAAGAAATTGCAGAACTAAGGTCAAAGTGGGCCCTAGAAAACATAGTGCGGTGTAGTGTCACGTAGACGTGTAGTGTGATGTAGGCGACGCCAGGTACACGTGTAGTTTGGTGTAGGCGGCGCCACGTGTAATGTGGTGCGGTGCTACGTGTAGTGTGGTGCGTCACCATGTATGGGCGATACTCCGTGGGTTGTAGTGTGGGCGGTATTACGTGTTGTGAGGCGTAAGCGGTACCTTGCTGTGGGCGAGTTTCTCGATGTTGTCTCGCAGCAGGTGGTCGGTGGCGGTCAGCTTGGCGGCGAGCTCGTGCTGCAGCGCGGCCGCCAGGGGCTCCAGCGCGCGAGCCGCGCCCACACCAGCAGCTGTTGCTGCTCGCGCACTTGCTGCTTCGCCTGCGCGCCCGATGCGGTCCCACCTGCACCAGCACACATACACATATAGACCATATTAAAATACAGTAGACATTGCTGCTCTATTATTAAGAAACACTAATGTAAAATATATAAAAAATGGACTGTCTGGGTACCTCCCTTAAGTATTTCAGTCTCTGAGTAGATTGTTTAGTAAGCTAGGTCTCGCTTGAAAGGTGAGATAAGGCAGTTAGATGCGCTGGGCGTGGTCGTGCAGCGCGGCGTCAGTGCGGCCCGCACGTGTACGTACCCGTCGGCGAGTGCTGCCTGCACGGCGGCGGCGGTGCGCTGGGCGTGGTCGTGCAGCGCGGCGTCAGTGCGGCCCGCACGTGTACGTACCCGTCGGCGAGTGCTGCCTGCACGGCGGCGGCGGTGCGCTGGGCGTGGTCGTGCAGCGCGGCGTCAGTGCGGCCCGCACGTGTACGTACCCGTCGGCGAGTGCTGCCTGCACGGCGGCGGCGGTGCGCTGGGCGTGGTCGTGCAGCGCGGCGTCAGTGCGGCCCGCACGTGTACGTACCCGTCGGCGAGTGCTGCCTGCACGGCGGCGGCGGTGCGCTGGGCGTGGTCGTGCAGCGCGGCGTCAGTGCGGCCCGCACGTGTACGTACCCGTCGGCGAGTGCTGCCTGCACGGCGGCGGCGGTGCGCTGGGCGTGGTCGTGCAGCGCGGCGTCAGTGCGGCCCGCACGTGTACGTACCCGTCGGCGAGTGCTGCCTGCACGGCGGCGGCGGTGCGCTGGGCGTGGTCGTGCAGCGCGGCGTCAGTGCGGCCCGCACGTGTACGTACCCGTCGGCGAGTGCTGCCTGCACGGCGGCGGCGGTGCGCTGGGCGTGGTCGTGCAGCGCGGCGTCAGTGCGGCCCGCACGTGTACGTACCCGTCGGCGAGTGCTGCCTGCACGGCGGCGGCGGTGCGCTGGGCGTGGTCGTGCAGCGCGGCGTCAGTGCGGCCCGCACGTGTACGTACCCGTCGGCGAGTGCTGCCTGCACGGCGGCGGCGGTGCGCTGGGCGTGGTCGTGCAGCGCGGCGTCGAGTGCGGCCCGTGGTGAGCCCGCGCCCGCACGCAGCAGCCGCAGTTCCCGGGACTGACACGACACCAGCTCTGTCACACACGATAACCGCCTTCACATGTACGCTTCCCTCTGATCGATCCCCCGTCCCATTCAAACGGGGATCGAAATTTCGACGGCCTGAGCCGAAGTTCAAACCCCTAGCGGTGCCCTCAGACTAAACTCGTATCAGTCAGGCGGTAATTGGCCTTCAGCCGCGCCATAAGTCCTTCCTTTGGTTTGGAGCGCCATTTGCACCCACCCCCCATTGCCCGGTGATGCTGTAAAGGCCAGTTGCGGCCAACAGCATTAAAGTAATCCGAAAAAAAAATAAGATATTTCACGCGCAGAATTGACTTTCACGCAAGAATATACATGTTAATGTAAGCATGTGTTGATATTCATTAAACTGTACTTATCAAATGAGGATGTAAATTTCATAATTTAGGAATAGACTTTCACGTAGAAAATAATGTGTAAATATAAAATGAGAACGAGAGAAACGACGCGGGCAACCTACTTGCACATTCTCGCGCCCTTGTATGTGCTTTTGCAGCCATTTTCAAATAATTGTTAATACACTTAAAATGCCGTTTTGCAATACTTATAAAGTGCTACTGTTTTAAATTTAACGCGGCAATTATTTATACGTATTATGGGACACAGTCACCTAGATACATCAAAATAATAATTGCATTTAATAATGTCTAGTAAGACAAATTCAATATTGTCTACTAGGCACTGCTGTATCTAAACTGTGTCACCCCACCTTACATTTTCCTATTGTTATTTAGTATATAAGATCATTATTTCTATGTACACATTGTCAGTTTATCATCATATGTAATATACATCGTCTCGACCAGCAACATCTTATTATTCACCCGCAACAGTGGTGACCCCGACGTGATCTGGCCGACGGGAAAACGACGAGATCAAGCAAGAGATCTCTGGCTGACGGCATCCTGCGCACCACCAACGAACATTTCCACCGGCTTAGCGGGTCTCGGTACGGAAATTCAAGAGGCACAAAAATCGTTGGCTACACTGCGCAACAAGGAACCCTGCCATACTACTGACCGCCATATAATACTGGCCAGCTGTTCAACTCATCACAACGTTAACAATGGCTCGTCCTATGCCATTAACAGGAACAAACATGCCTAGCACACCGGGCATGTCTGCCACTAGCTGTATAGACATCGCTGCAATAACCGTCACAGAGCGGTTACCTGAGTTCTGGACCACGTTTGTGGTTTGCACAATTTGAGGCAATAATCGCACCTCAAAAACAAGGCGACGAATATAAATATAATACAGTAATATCCAAACTGCCAAAAGAGGTCGTCCACCAAGTCAGCGATATACTTACAAATCCACCACCAGAGAATAAAAAGTCATTAAAGACAGATTGATCGACTGTTATGAGGAGAGCGAGCAAAGACGTTTCCACAAACTGCTCGCAGAAATGAACCTGGGAGATCAAAAACCGTCCCAGTTATTGAGGAAAATGAGAGAAGCTGGTTGCGGGAAAATTAATGAGAATACCATCCGACTATTATGGATGAAGCTTCCTCCATCAGTCACAACCGTTTTAGCGGTTACTGAGCAATTGACGCTGGACAAATTAAGCGAAATGGCCGATCGCATACATGAAAATATGCGATTTAATACAACACTGCAATCAACAGGCACCGCTGACGTAAATACGGTCACACACCTGTCTTCACAAATCGCGACGCTGCAATTAGAATTGCTGCATACGCGAAAATCGATCGCGACACATAAACCGACGCAGCAATTTCCGATCTAGATCAAATTCACGCCGTCAGTCAGCGCATAGACAGAGTAATAATTAATTATCATCGTAGATTTAAAGAAAAGGCATATAAATGTGACCTGCCGTGCTCCTGGAACTCATAAAAGACAGCCGTCGGAAAACTAGGCTCAGCACAGAACAAGGCGGAACTCTGTGCTGTTCATCCGTCTAACCTCCTAGCTATAACCGACTCTAACAGTCGACGCCAAAAGCAAAAATCTGTGAATAAAAAACAAGCACAGACCAAAGAGAGCGCTAGCGAAATCAAATTATTCGCCGCAAACAATTAATATGAGCAAATGCGAGTTCTTCACAAATGAGTTAGATTTTCTTGGTTATCATATAACGAGCCAAGGGATGAAACCAACGCAAGAAAAATGGCAAGCAATCGACGAGTACCCTAAACCCACGACAGTCGAAGATTTACGTCGTTATTTGGGTATAATGAATTTTTATTGTTACTAAAGTGCATAATATCTTAAATTTTACAGTTAACTTTTATAAATTTTTTTTGTGTGTAATATATATATATATATATTTTTTTTCTCAAAGGGGGGAATATCTATGGGACACAGTCACCTAGATACATCAAAATAATAATTGCATTTAATAATGTCTAGTAAGACAAATTCAATATTGTCTACTAGGCACTGCTGTATCTAAACTGTGTCACCCCACCTTACATTTTACTATTGTTATTGAGTATATAAGATCATTATTTCTATGTACACATTGTCAGTTTATCATCATATGTAATATACATCGTCTCGACCAGCAACATCTTATTATTCACCCGCAACACGTATAATTCAATAATATCAACAACAAAAAAATCAATTTAAAGGAAAATCAATTACATTATTCGTACGTGCTATGGCGCGTGAAAATGCGAACAAAAAAATAGTTAAATGCAATCCCTCACGATTGCGCGCGTTACCTCCCCGCGCTAAGAGTAGCATTGTTGAAATCAAATTACACACATGTTATCAATTTAGATACATATTTTTTATCAGATATATATTTGCATGTGTGAATTCACTATAACAACATTGTACATTGTACATTACCGAACATGTGTCTTTGTCTTGTCATATATCATTAAATAGTATAAAACAAAGTCACTGTCGCTGTCCGTCCCTATGTATGCTTAAATTTTTAAAACTACGCAAGTAGTGAAGTGGTAATTTTAGACAGACTGATTCAAGAGGAAAGTTTATATGTATAATTTATTTATTTATTAAAGGAAAACCAAGGCTATTCAAGTACATCTTAAATAAAATCAATATATATGTCATAATAAGCCACTGACAGGCTTTCACTAATAACAATAGACTAATTCTTAAAAAATTTACATCACTACGTATAAAGGCATTATAAAGTTAACAGAGAATATGAAATTAATTAATAAGAGTACAGTAACAAATAGTAAATTTATAGAAATATATACATATACATGATTTTCAATAATAATTAATTGTTATATAATACATGTACATTAGGTAGCTAGTGTAACAATATAGCATTAGATACACTATTGTGCTGGGCCAATGTCTGTAATAATAGTTTTGCAAATAAATAAATATTTTACCTGTGAGTTTGTCTATTTTGTGCTCGAGTTGATCGAGTCGTTCAAGACGAGCCCGGTCGGAGGGTGAGGGCGCTATGACGGCCCCTAGCGAGTTATTTAGCGACTGGCTACTTGATTTCTCGCTGGAAGCCTTCCGCTGGTTAGCTTCTGTGATCTGTGCCAACGAGATCTGTGGCCACGACGTTTCGCTGTCTACACAAACAAAAAATAGTTCACTGACTATATATGACGTATTTATTTCAGTAAGTATAATTGTGTTAATTCCTTTAGAATTTATAGATATGTTACATACGTAGTATAATAAGTAATAGTAGTAAAAGTTCATTACTTCTTCTTCTTGTATTTATTTAAATAAAGATTATTTCTTTATCTATTTTGGATAATTTTAGTTACATTGTACATTTAAGCAACACCAAAAATAAAATGTAAATGGCGCGCGTGATTCGGTCTTTCGGAATTTACTCGCCATGGCATTTCACCGGAACGGACCGTGCTTTTTGTGTACGTGAGTTTTAGATAAAGGATTTGGTCACCGTTGCGTGGCGTAAATTTCAAGAACATCGCAAATTAAGTTTACTGACTGTAGAGTTGCAGAATTTTCCAGGCTATAATATCCGTATCTGGTTTCAACAGGATGGCGCAATTGCCCATACCTATAACATCGTTATATCCGTCGTCGGTCAACTTTTTCTTAACAAAGTGATATCTCGAAGAGGACATACCTTGGTGACCATGAAGTCTGGTTTTCAGTTCAATGGACTTATTTTTATGGGAATGCTTTAAGGTTAAGGTCTTCGAAACAAACCCGCGGTCAATTGAACTATGAACTTAAAGAAGACATTCTACGAGAAATGTCGAGCATTACAGGGCTTACTTGCCGCGCAGAGATGGAAAATTTTACTCATCGTTTACAAGTATGCCAAGAACGAAACGAAGAATATTGTATTGTATGTTGGACTCCAGTCTCCGCAATTAGCCTCTCATTCGGGCCGTTGTGCGTGCAGAGCCAGACTACTAAAGTAGCCAGCCAAGCTCCTCATAAAAGCGCAGAAGACTCCAGGTGTCTTCACAGGCTTCACGGAGCGACCTCACCGTTCCGAGGATTTGTTTTCGTTGTGGGGCTACTGCCGTGCACTCCAGGATTACGTGAGCCGACGTTTCTTCAGCTCTAAAGCAGCCCCGACAAAGGGGACTGTCTGTGGCATCAATTGTGTATAAGTGTTTGTTTAAGGAACAATGGCCCGTTATTGTCCCTATCATTATTTTAAGGTTATGCCTATCTAGATTAAGTAGGTGTGTTGTTAATCGAAACGAAGAACATTTGGATGACGTGATATTAAAGAAATAATTCCTCTTTTCTGTAAATTACCACGCAATAAAAAATATTTGAAACTGTACACAGTTTGATTTTTATAATTGTTTTAAGTTCAATATATTGTAGGCACATCCTGTATAAGTATAAAGTCTTGGTACGTACTGGAGTGCGTGAGTACGGCGGGCGCGGGGGCGGGCACGGCCGCGGGCGGCGGCGCGGCGGGGGAGCCCGCGCCCGCCTCCCCGCCCCCGCCGCCGCCGCCGCCCCCGCTGCCGCCCGCCTGCTCCGCCTCCTGCGCCTCCTGCGCCTCCTCCGCCTCCTCCGCGGCCGGAGACTGACTCGACTCCTCGCCCTCCTGCGCACACACACACCATTCTATATTCACTTATTTTATTCGAATAACCAAGGCTATGCTTTAGAGAAAGTACGAAAGTGGCACCGGTGTAGGAGAGTTTAAAGAGTAATCGTCTGTCGTGATATGGGCATGTAATTCGTAGAAATGAGGAGAATATTTTAAGGAAGGGAGGAAATAACGAGATGACTGCGAACAGGAATAAATAGAAGAGAAGAACGTATTACACCGACCACAAATAAAAAGGATAAGGAAGACAAATATAATTCAATCAAACAAGCCACTTACAGGTTTTCACAGACAGAAACAACGTAGAAAACGTAAACGTACGTACACACAACGTAGGTGTGTGTGTCCTAGATCATCATCAGATATCAAAATTACATCAATATACTAATTAAAACATGCAAAACGAAAAACATTTTATACCTATAACAGAAATTACATCGATTGTCACTAGTTTTAAGGCTTCATTGATTACTTCTCTTCCCTATGTGGCTGTTATTGAAGTCTGTAGGATGGTATTATATAATAAAAAGAGACGTGCCATGTCCTTGTAGTAGTGGTCATTGTGCGCCATGATCTGCTGCACCTCCCGGCTGGGGCTGGAGCCCCCCGAGGCGGGCTTGTCCGCCGCCGCAGCCCCGATGCTCGCCGTGCCCGCAGATGCCTCGCTGCAGGTACCTGTTACAGTATCATCACTGTTACTACCAGAAGTCGAACAAGTTGACGGGCCGTCGGCTTAATATGCGATACGCGTCGCCAATATATATATGGACAAGACTATAGACGTATATATTTGACGGCCTCGGTGGTCGAGCGGTTTAGCCTTACTTCCGATGGTCGCGGGTTCGACGTTCGTTTCGGTTACGGTTACGGAGCTCCCTAACATCCCTGCTTCATAGTCATTATATTAGTCATCATCATGATCATAGAATGGTCATCCATTCTCCAGGACGTATTGAATAAAAAGAAGAATATACGTCTGGTTTAGCCTCCAGTATTACCCGTATGAAATTTATAACCTGTTATACATCACATAAGCTATATTACGGTAAAGTTTCATCAAAATCCTTTCAGTAGTTTTCTCGTGAAAGAGTAACAAACATACATTCATACTCAGAAACTTTGCGTTTATAATATTAGTAGGATACCTCCGATTGAAGAGCGCGGCTTCCCACCAACGTCCGGTGTGGCCGACAACGGCGGATCGTCCTCATCGCGTTTACCGGGCGAACTGAAACATATTTAATTGGACTGGCAAAAAGGTAAAACAGATAAAACAGTACTTGGCAAAAAGGTAGTAAACATCTGATAGTAAATATTAGCATTATAAAATAACAGGATCACAGACAATCTTGGTAAATGAATCTACCAAACTATTACTAAGGGGCTGTTCAAGTATTACGTAAGCAGATTTATCACAATTATTTACCCCTCATCCCCCGTTGTCAGCAAAAGTAAGCAAAGCTCTTACCCCTCCCCCCATGCTTACGTAAACATTTCTCAATTAATGTATTGTTTTTTTAACAAAGACAATGTGAGGGTTGCCATTCGTGTAAAAAAGTAAATTACGACCGATGACGTAATCATCATACAGACTCCCCCACCCCCATGTCATCCAAAATAAGCAAAGAAAAGACCCCCCGCCCCCCTATAGTGCTTACGTAATACTTGAACGGCCCCTAAGGGTAAAGCTGTTATATCTTATCATAAAAAGAAATGTACCAGTTGAGTTTGCTACTTCTTTTCAACAGAAATAGTTCACTGAACTATTAAGTTGTTCGGAAAGTAATTTCGTTTTTTCCTGGCAGAGGATTTAGTTGTATTTTTTTGCACGCAGTTCACACTTAAGTCGTATAATTTTTATATGGTTTTAGAGCTCATATAGCAAAGCTTATGTGTGATAAATATCAATTAATTCTACGCAGTAGTTTTTGTTTTTTTTTTATAACACAGGGGACAAACGAGCATGCGGCTCACCTGATGGTAAGTGATTACCGCCGCCCATGAGCACCCGCAACACCAGGGAAATTGCAAGTACGTTGTCGGCCTTTTAAAAAGGAATAAGCTCTTTTCTTGAAGGTTTCAATTTCGTATCGGTTCGGAAATACCATTGCTGAAAGGCGATTCCACAATGTGGTTGTGCGAGGCAAAAAGTTTCTAGAAAACCGCACTGTGGAAGACCGCCATTCATCCAGATGATCAGGATGGTATTGCAGTTTCTGGCGGGTGGTACGGTGGTGAAACTCAGCATCTGGTATTAATCCGAACAATTCCTCAGAACACTCCCCGTGATATATGCGGTAGAAAATGCACAGAGATGCAATATCACGCCGCAAAGCCAATGGGTCGAGTCTGTCACATAGACGTTGATTACCAATGATTCTGGCTGTTCTGTTCTGAATGCGCTCAAATGGAAGTAGCTGGTATTGTGGTGCTTCCGCCCAGAGATGAGAACAGTATTCCATGTGCGGCCGGATCTGCGCCTTGTATAATTGCAAGCGATGGGCCGCCGTGAAATACCGTCTCACTCTACTGAGCACACCAAGTGGTTGGTGCTCTTTTAAATATGGAGAGCGATAAGCAGCATTTTCGACATATCTTACTGTTTTACTACAGAAAAGGCAAAAATGCTGTTCAAGCCAGAAAGAAATTGACCGATGTGTGTGGAGGTGTGTTAGCAGTATGCCTGTGCCAGAATTGGTTCGTTAAATTTCGATTGCTTTGCCTTGCTATATGAGCTCTCAAACCATATAAAAATTATACTACTTTAGTGTGAAGTTCGGTCCAAGAATACAATTAAATCCTTAGTCTGGAAAAAACGAAATGACTTTCCGTACAACCTAATAGAAATAAAATAATATACATAAGAAGTGGATAGTGTGCTACATGAATATCTGATTTTTTAATTCGAAATTTAAAGTTTAGATATTAGTGATAAAAGTTACTACTCAATTTCTTTTTTTTATTGGGGTTTTGGGCAACTATTAGGTGCTAAGACCTGTATCTATATACAGGTATCAGTATTCTACATAGGTAGAATGTCGGTGTAGAATACTGATACATAGATCTATTGTGCTCGCCCTTTTTTCAAAGTTCGCTACCTAAACCCGTGTGGGACAAGAATTGAAGGATATTCTTAGGAGCAATAATTTTTATCTCCTCAAACATAAATGTTTCTATGTATTTATATCAGTTTTGAGTACTAGACCCATGACACAAGCTCTGCTTAGCTTGTGACTAGATGTCGCTGTGTGGAATGTCCTCAAAGTGTTGGTTCCGACAAGTTCACCTTTATTTCTGTATTTGTGCATTGAAGTTTTAATAAACAAATAAATTATGAGAAACAACTAACCTGAAAGCATCTGGCGTCATGAGGTTCAGCTGTGGGGGTGCGCTGGGCGATTCTGGACGCTGACCGATCAGACTACCCGGCTGGGTCTGCAAAACACAATAGCTGCCTTTACAAATACAAGTATACGTGTGAATAGACTTTCACACAGGAAAGAAAGTGCGAGCAAATGTAGATAAAGTGAACGAGAAAGTCACTGTCATGAAGGAGGACTACTGGCCGAAGGTGGTGTATCGGCGCTACTGTAGCAATTTGCCGTCGTTAGTGCCATTTATATTTATTTATATTACTACTAGGTGACCCGGCAAACGTTGTTTTGACAAATAAATTAAAATAGCTATTAAAAATAGTGGTTGTTAAAAGAAGGCTGAAAATTTAGGGTTGTAAGTATTTGTAAAAATTGGTGGAATAATAAAAAAAAATGTTTGAGGTGAATATACATATAAAATTTCATCAAAATCGGTCAAGCAGTTTCGGAGGAGTATATATACGAAACCTGTGATACGAGAATTTCATATATTAGACTGCACATGTATGTTAGTCTATAGGGTATATATAATATGAACCGACTATGGTTCTATATGCTTAAAAAAATTAAAAAAAGATATTATGATTACAAATCATATAATATATCATCACTACATAGTATAAAACAGTTGCTGTCGCTGTCTGTCGATTCCTATGTATGCTTAAATCTTTAAAACTACTCAACGGATTTTGAAGCGGTTTTTTTAATAGATAGAGTGATTCAAGAGGTAGGTTTATAAGTATAATACATGTACACCTGGGCGAAGTTGGGCGAGTAGTTAATTAAATTACAAAAGCTAATATTCGGTAAAATTTGTATTCGGAGTGAGTAATGTATATAAATATATAAATTGAGCCAGCTACCAAATTAAATAAAAACAAAATATATTTACATTTGCAGCGCTAACCTGAGACCTCATGAGCAAGTTCTTGAGCTGCTGACTCTGTTGCTGCAAGATGCTGGAGTGGATCGCGTTAGGAACTGCCTCCTGGGACGTCTCGTCCAGAGTCAGGTCTGAGAGACCTGTGAATCAAACATAATGTTGAACTTTACCGAGGTAAGCTTTGTATGATGTTGTTTGCTTGTGTGAAATATGTACCAGTAGAGTTTCTTGCCACTTCTTAATAGTTCTTTTAAGAACGGGCAAGAAACTTAACTTCTGGAAGGTAAAACGCATGAGCGGTATGACATGGACACAATTTTTGAAGTCCATGGTTAGGTTTACATATACATATAAGTGATGGTTACCACTTACCATCTGGTGGACCGCCAGCTGTTGTTTGGTATTCTAAATAGATAGAAAAAAGGTGATAGTGAATGAAATGATCATGATGATGGTGATAGTTCATTCTTAATCATAGATATCTTTTGGTTTATGCGTTGGCAACACTGCCACTTTAAAAAGTAAAGAAAAAATATGTTTCGTCGCCTCTTGTTGTTTGTCGGTCGTAAAGTTAATATGTTTTTTTCGATCGCATAATTATTGCAATAAATGTCGATTGTTGGAAATTAATTGTTTTGTGGATTATTATAAACTATTCATAAACGTTTAAAATTATAAATAAAAGAAAAAAGCAAGATAGTCATCTGCTGGAGAACACGTGTCGGTTTAGCGGTGGTCAGGTGACCCGATGCAAAGGGTAAGTTCGAACAAGTAGAAGCTCAGTCGAGCCCGTCTAAAGCTGAACTTGCAGTGCTTTTCAGCTAAATCTATCTCTCGTGCGCAGTATATACAGTCCACTGGTCGACTGCGTGTCTAGGGACAGGCGTTGGGTTTCAAAAAGAGTGAGGGTGGTGTCGTACGCGGTGTGAGCGGCGCGTGGTGCGGCGCGTGGTGCAGCAGCAGCCCCTCCTGCAGGCCGCGCGGCTGCACGATGTACAGCCGCAGCCGCGCCCGCCCCGCGCCACCCACCACCGCGCTCTCCGCGCCCGCCTCCTGCACGCACACACACACACACGCACACGACACCTGTTACTTATTATATGGCTACACACGACAATATTTATTTATTTATTAAAGGAAAACCAAGGCTATTCAAGTACATCTTAAATAAAATCAATATATATGTCATAGTAAGCCACTGACAGGCTTTCACTAGTAACAATAGACTAATTCTTAAAAAATTTACATCACTACGTTTGAAGGCATTATAAAGTTAACAGAGAATATGAAATTAATTAACAAGAGTACAGTAACAAATAGTAAATTTATAGAAATATATACATATACATGATTTTCAATAATAATTAATTGTTATTTAAAGAAGGGCTCACTTAGTTGGTGTCTCGTTAATTTAATATTATTACAAAATATATCTATATTAACTGTTTTAGATAGTTTATTATATACTCACTGAATACTCTGTATATAGTGACTGTTAATTAAATAAACCCGCATCCTTAGTAATATCTTTTTAATTAGAAATAAGAGCTGCCTGTAAGCGCTTTCACCTACATCTCATTGAGGTTGTACTTATATCAGCAACAGCCGAGGCAGCTCCAATTGACAACTTCATAAGTAATTTTCTTATTTCTTATTTTGTGTATTATTAATAATCTGTTCTGTTATATTGACAATAAATGAATTATCTATCTACTCTGCAAATTATTTGGAAAACAACCTTATATAGCGGTGTTCCGATAATATACTTTCGATAATTTAAATATGTTAGACATAAAAACTGCAATTCCCCTAATGCCCATAGCCGAAAGTAATCACTTATCATAAGGAGTACTATCCCGATCGTCTGGATGAATGGCGGTCTTCTACCGTGTTTTTCCAAAAACCTTTTACCACACAAATCCATTGTGAAATCACCTTCCAGCAATGGTATTTGCGAACCAATAGATTATTGAAACCTTAAAAAAGAGAGATTCTTCCTTCACAAAAAACAACGCACTTGCAATTCTCCTGGTGTTGCAAATGCTCATGGGCGACGATAGTCTTACCATCAGGTGATCGTCATCGTAAGCATCTTTTGCTCCCTTCCATGTGTTAAAAATAGAAATAAAATAATGTCGTTACATGATGTATATCGAAGTCGTCTGGGGAGTCTCGCGCGGTGCCCGTAGAGCCGTTTCTGTGGAACGGGTCGTCGCAACTCGACTCGCACTTCACTTGTTCCTCCTCTGCAAGGAAAATATACATAAGAATCATAACATGACAACTGGAAACTATATTTTGTGTACAATTTAAAACCCCTCCGATCGATCCCAAGTCCAATTCAAACAAGAAATGAAATTAGCCGAGACGAGGTATGAATCCCTAGCGGTGCCTCCATCCGCTCCATAAAACCATGCGCGGGTTTATAGTGCCCTCGGCACTCACCCCTTATCGTCCGGTGAAGCTGTAAAGGCCAGCTGCAACCAACAGCATTAGAGTAGTCCAAAAATTAAAAAGTAACAATTTAAAATATTATTATTTTGCATGGCATAACCTGGTGTGGATAAACATATGTAACTAAGTTTTCCGAAATAGTAGTTATTCTATTCCATGCATGCAAAGCTTTGCCAAAAGACATAGTCTTATGTTTAGTGGTATGGTTTTTTGAGATAAAAAATAAATTAATATTTTGTTATTACTAAATATGGTCCATTTGCCTGTATTAACAGTATACACTGACGGGGCACCAGAAAATAATAAGATGAGCATGTAATCAGTAGTGCAGCGTGGTGAATTCACACTCTTTTATTTCAATCTTCGAATTGCAGGATAAAATATATTAAAGGTCATTTATTTGTATAAAATTATCCAATTTGAGAGATTGGATAATTTTTGTTGGCTGGTAAACACGATTATAAAAGTTCATTAAAATCTATTCAGCAGTTCCAGAATTTAACCTGAACACAAAATCGTGACATGAAGTTTGTATATTAATATAAGTGTATAAGAATAATTTATATTATTTCAGGCATTTTTGCTCCTTTTATCAGTAATACAATTTTCTTAAGACCTATTACAAAAATATAGCATACCAGCATCAGCAATACAAAAACTCAGCACCGGATATGGAAGCAGAAACTCAGATATACTCTTGCAGTATGCTGTGGTATCGTCTATATCCCACGCCATATTCAGTACATAAAGACTCCTCGTTTCAAAGTCTGCCAGCACCAGGTAACTGGCGCTGATGTCCAGCATGGCCTTCAGGCCCAGCACGGGCTGCTCCGGCACCAGGGTAGGGGTGAACGTGATCGTCTGCATGCAGTTCCAGGACTTGCATGACCACACCTTTATCGTGGTGTTGTTCTCAGCGCCCGTCACCGCAAACTTCCAGAATTGGACGCTGTAAAAAAAATATTTTATGTTCTCTGGGCATAAAATCATAATTATGTTGAGTTGTGGTCCACCTTGACTCTATTTTGTATGTATGTAAATTGTTGTTTGTGTATTTTTGTCATTATTCTTGTGTCAATACAAGTCAATAATTGTATTGACACAATTATTGACTTGTATTGACACAAAAATAGAATAGAATTTCTATTCTATTTTATCCATACTAATATGAGCTGAAGAGTGTACTTCTAGAATTGGATGTTGTAAAAATGTTTACTATTATTTTGACTACTTATCTTAAGGCTGAACTATACTCAGAAACTTCTAGATTTCATTGTGGTTCTGCTTTTAAGAACTGGTCTCTTATTTCTTAATTAATTTTGTTACTCAAATAACTATTAATTTATTTAAATATATGATAATGTAATATCTGTATTCAAGTATGCAGTCGTCGGATATGATTTTCATTTTCAGATACTTATAGCCCAATTTACACTCAGCACGAGTGGGCAGGGAAGTGAGCAGCGCGAGAGTATAAACACGATACTTCCCATGCCATTGGCGCTACCACTCGCACTGCCCGTAGCTCCCTCGATTGTCGGTTTTTCGTGCGCGAGTCAAAGGACTGGCAGCGCGAGTGGCAGCGTGTGTTTACATTCAGCCCACTTGCTCAGTTGTCGCCCGTCGTTTTAAGCGGAAGGTAAGGAAGAGTCGCCCGATAAATAAGTATGAGGGCTGAGTGTAAACGACACTCGCTCACGTCAATTGAGTGTCACTGACGCGGCAATATTTCCGGCAGCGCGAATGGCAGCGGAAGCGGCTGAATGTAAACGTATCATAAGAATTTGTACAAAAGCTATGCATACTAATAGCATAAACTCACTCAGTGTTGTAGTTCTTGTGGTTGTCGAGGAAGAAGAGACAGCTGAGTGGCTTCCCACCGTGCGGCTGCCACTTGTGGAGGCAGCGGGGGCTGCTCTCGTTGTGCATGTACACCTGCAACGAATAAACACTCGGTGGTCTTAGCATACCGCCCTTACTTCCGATGGTCTCAGGTTCAATTCATCGCACGGCACAAACATTTTGTATTCATTAGTATTGTCTGTATCAGACTGGGTGTTGTCTATGTATCATATTTATTCGTATCCGTTAGGCAGGAGTTGGCCTTCAGCCGCTCTATAAGTGCTTCCGCGGGTTTGGAGTGTCATCTGCACTCGCCCCCTAACGTCCGGTGAAGCTGTAAAGGCCAGCTGCAGCCAACAGTATTAGAGTAGTCAAAAAAAAAAATATATTATGTTTTTACGAAAAACAAAAATATATCTATATATTTGTATCAGTTACCTTGTACCTATAATATAAGCTTTAGCTATAAAATGGCGCCTGAGATTATTATTATTTATAAGTATAATTAGTAAATCACGGGATCTTACCACGTTTTATTTTTGTTGAGTTCAGTGATTGGTTTAATTAAACAAAAACATAAAACGCGATCACAAAGTGTATTAAGACGTGAAGATACTGTGAGTATAGTTTGCCGAGATGAATATCAAGCAAGTTTCAATACTAGCAATACACGAAGACGTGTGACGGTAGACGAATATGTCTAGTATATAATAGATTTACGGGTAAACTGAAGAGCAGCGGGTAGAAGGTAATTCTACCCGCTGCTCTTCAGTTTACCCGTGATCATGGCCGTTGAAACACTGCCGAAATATCGCGAACAAAAATAAAACAAAACAAAAAACAACAATAAAACAACTCAATAAAAATAAAACGTGGTAATATCCCGTTATTTACTAATTATACTTATAAATAATGATCGCGTCAAACTTAAAACAGTATTATTATTATTTTCCTTTACCCCATTATTTATTTAGGGTTTATTTATTTAGTTCGTTTGAATAGGTTTGTTCTTAGGAATAAATACATAGTTTCAGATTCAGCTACAGTTTGAACATGTATATTTGAATCAATTTAGACATTTAACAAATATTAATAATCAATATTAATTATAATGATTCGCAATAATAAAATGCCAAAAGAAAATGTATAAACTCGTGTTGTAGTGGAGTAACTTGAACACTGATTAGAGTTCTTGTTTTTTTTTTGCAATAGCATATGCTGGTAGTCACTCTATTCTCTAAAATTGGAATTTAAATGAATCTGTATTATTGTAAACATGTACAACATTTATTTATAAAAAATACGAGCTGAGGCTCTTGTCAGTTTTCTCAAATCGAAATCATTGGTAGATCCAATGATTTCGAGATGAGAAGAACTGACGGTAGATTTGACATATCATAAGAGTCTGTAATAGACCTATATGAATAATTGCGAAAGTGTGTGTGTATGTATGGATGGATGTTTGCACCTGGAAGAACATGACGTATCCGTCTGCGGAGGCCGTGGCGAGCGCCGTCCCGTCGGGAGAGAACGCGGCGTCCACGATGGCCGCCCCGTGCTCCGCCGCCGTCAGCACGCCGCCCCCGCCGCCCCCCGCGCCGCCCCCACCGCCCCCCTCACCCCCCGCACCGCCCGCCGCCGCCCCCGACAGCAGCTGCGCAGAGCCCACGCCCTCCGTGGCCGACACCTGCGCCGCTATCACTCGTATGTTCCACATGCGGGCTGCCGGTTATACGTTCCATTGTAATATATATAATTGGTCCTGCGAGCCGGATTGTTGCATAATCGAAACAAATAATAACTTAAATGTTGCATTTAATTTCATACAGTTTTAGTTAACTGTTAAATATGACTTAAATGACCTAAAACCAATTTTTCTCTGCACAACCTGTGGTTGACTGGTAGAAAATGCCGTAAGGCGCTAAGTCCGCCATATGTACTTTTGGTACCTTGGTATTTTGAGCATTGAAGTAATATAAATAAATAAAAAATTAACAAAAATATCCTTTTTTATTACAAAAACTAACTGTACTAAATAATACTTCACATGTCGAATAAAAAGCATGTTTCCACATACATTGATTGTTATTATTCTATATCATTTTTTTTAAATAAAATTTAATAAATGTGGTAAATCTTGTTTGATACAAGATCTATGTTATAGTACACGCACAACGGCACAGGTGAGAGGCTAAACGCAGAAAGTAGAGTCTATATAACATTACATTACCTATATTGTAGTGTGTAGTGAGGAGCAACCGCGCGACGTCATCGTCAGGCGAGTCATCATCCTCGTCCGGTATGTACGGGCACCACACCACGCGTTGCGACCCCCCAGTTATACCAGTATCCTCCCATATTTCCGCCACCAATGTGCACCTGGTGGAGAACATAAGTAATAATAATAACAGCCAATTACAAAGCGTCATCTAGTCCTAAGCTAAGTACAGCTTGGGTTATAGGTATATACTGAAATAAATACTTTTGTAAATCCATGATATAAATAGTAAACACTCAGACGAATACAATCATACTCATAAATACAAATGTTTGGACTGTGCCACCATTGGAGGTGGCATGCTAAACTGCTAGACCACCGAAGCTGTTAATGGTAGGAAGTGAACCTACAGTATTTACATGGCATTACTAGGTTTTAGTTTCTTGCTTGTTCTTCTTGTGATGAGACAGTATTCCGAATGAGCGGTAGATTAAAAAAAAATGTGATGACTATTCTAAAGTGCTTCAATGTAAGTTTATTTGAATAAATGATTATCTATTCTATTCTATTCTATTCTATTAGTCTACTTTTTTTGCCATTTGGTCATGTTGATGTTACGTGACTAGTAGACGAATCTAACATAATTATAATTTATTGCCACATATTGTTGCCTTTCTTATATTATATTTTTATATATAAAAATTACATGTTACGTTGTTTGTCTGCAATGGACTCCAAACTATTGAACCAATTACAAATTTAATTTGCACATCATGTGCAATTTGATTCAACTTAAAAGATAGGATAGCTTCATCTCAATTTATAATCACAATATTATTTTATTGCAATTTAATTTAATATATAATGACACTGTTAGCCACAGCAATGCATGGCCGGGTCTGCTAGAACAGTATTATACATTTGCTAGTATATATATATACATGACAGTATTATACATTTAAAGTATGGATCATACATTTATATCTGTGAGAATTTTTCAATATACATGTAAGTAAAGAACAATATTGTTAATGTACCTTATTTCAGAGTCAATCACTTCAATCTCGTGGACATAGAAATTTCCCTGTTCATCAATACATGCCAACACTACTTGGCTTTGAATGTGGGCAAACGACAAATCTTGCACCTGAAAAAAATACAGTCATATTAGTATTATACTGGGACAAGATAATAGTTAAAAAATATGTAGCTTTTATTCTAATAATAGTATAAATGCGAAAGTATCTCTGCCTGTCTGTCGCGCTTTCACGCCAAAACTACTGAACCGATTTAAATGAAATTTGGTACATAGATAGTCTAGTATTTTTCTAGACAATGTGAGTCTGCAGTCCAGCCAGTGCATGACTTATCTAATGTGACACTCTGGCATTATATTAAGAAATTAACAGCATGCATGGCAATAGTTGTTTATGCACAGGATTTTTATTTGATGTGAGACACAGATACCTATATAGATATACAAGGAAATAATTTGCTTTCTTCAAAAGCAAAAAAAAGAAAAAAAAAAAGAAATTCAATTAAGTTATTCTTGCCAGTTCCTAATTGTATCTATATACTGAACTGGATTGTTGGGAATAAAATTATAATATAAGTATAGTAAGTAAATAATAACTAAGTAATAACATAACGAACAAGTAATAACTTCAATAGATTAAGTAGGGTATTAGATATTGATTTGTTTTCCGATAGAATATCTTTAGCGAGGGCCGTGATGAGCAATTCTTTGAGTTATAAGTATCGAATTGAATGTTACTTATATGCATTTCCATTATTTAAAAATGTTTGTTAATTTCAGCACATGTTTTGATTTAGTAGATTGTTATTTTTTGATATATGATTTTATGAGTATTTATGACACAAACACGGCCCACGTGTTAGTACTGTAATTTATTTTATATTACGTTTCTATCCGTGAAAACCTATAAGTGGCCGTTCTCGTTTAATTATGTTTATAACTATGTTTGTAAATAGCCTTGGTTTTCCGAAAATAAAATAAAAAAATATAAAAATTTGACGTTCATAAGCGGCTAAAATGTCTTACATGAATAAATTATTTTAGGATTTGAATTTAAATTTGAATGGACTCCGCCACCAAGTGTAATACCACCAATACATAGCTAGGAAGGGAGAGAGACCTTAAGAACTTTAAGATGAATTATACAACCTACCACTCCTTTCATACCCTTGATAAGGGCGCGTCGTTCCGTGCCAGGTTCAGGGTTGTACACCACACGCACCATGCCATTCCAGGACCCTGGGTTCTGGGGATTAGTTGCTGTAAAGGCAAAAACTCAGTTAACTATTAAGTGACATGTATCTTTAATAGTATTAGTTTGGAGGAGGCTATGCTAACCATTAAATCCAGTAGTATCCAAATTGTCTATATCTATACACTATACAGTGGACCCTTGGGTATCCAACAAACGTTTGGCAGTGTCGGACCATCGAATTTGTCGGATAATAGAGTGCTGCCTAAGAGTCCCCTATAGTCCGGATTTGTTTACAAAAGAGTATCTTGTAATCCGACAAATTACAGATCCAGTGATAAGATTCTATGTTATATATGTATGTATAGGCACTTTGAAGCATAAATCATACTTCATTATGTATGTCAACTACTAAAAGATTCATTACGATTTAAGCAGTCTAAAATATCACATTTTTCTTTAATTGTCAGTGTTTTGTGCATTCGCTTCTGAGCTGATACGTGTGAATAAACAGTAAACAATGATGTCAATATTGCCATCACCAAAAATTCAGTTAGAAATATAATTTGACATAGATTTTGTTTTCAAACGAGTTTTGAACTTACTACCCGTTAGATGTAAGTCAACTCTGAAGATCACAGACCAAATAATATACCAAAACTTGATATTCAAAATGTTTAAAGTTCTTTTCTTAATACTATTTCTTTTCAATGATTCAGACCTTCTAAAAATCTGTTCACTCCATTCATCCATTAATTTTTTTAAAACATATTCTTTATACCTTTAATAGAATACGCCATAAATTTTCCACTGATGTGAATGGCCAGCAGTTGTCCATGGTAGAACTTTGGTTCCCAGTTATAGTCAACCAAGTTCTTCAGTTTGACCTTGGAGCTACCATGGTTGTGGTTACCAGCATTTGTGGTGACCACAACTTCGGTGGCATACACCTCGGCGCTGCACACACCATCTCCCTCTGAGAAAGAGCTGTAGAACGAATTTTTATTTAATATTTTTATTACTCTTTATTGCATTTGTAACTTAATAAGAGAACATGCTAAAATAACATGGAAAGAACCATCTTCAACATCAAAGTTAGAGATAAGGTCGAACTCACTAATATAAGAGGAAAAAACCAAATTGACAGATGTAATCAGAACAATCAAGAAACTGAAATGGAAGTGGACAGGACATGCAATAAGAAGTAGGAAAAGGAAGGACCTAGGATGTCTTAGATTGGTATCCAAAAGATCAAAAACTGAAAAGAGGGTAACAGAAAAAGAGGTGGGAGGATGACATAAGAACAGTAAGAACAGTGGCTGGACCAACATGGAGGAGGGCGTTGGACAGAGGAACATAGAGTCTATTAGAGGATGCCTATGTTGTATGAATGATGTCAATGTCAATGATGTCTATTAATAATAATGTCAGTTTGTCTTATCTCTAAAAGAGATCCCTTCAACCTTACACAGTGATTAAGTTGGTAATTAGTGAGTAATAGTACTGCATGAGTGTTGGACAGAAATATAAATAGAATAAGAATAGAATAACTAGAGTATGGTAGAGTATGATAGAGTATGGTAGAGTATAGTAGAGTATGATAGAGTATGGTAGAGTATAATAGAGTATGGTAAAGTATAGTAGAATCTGGTAGATTATTTATCTTATTAACGGGGTCTTAACACAATCAAATTTTATGGCAAATAAAGATATTTACCTCTCTCAAGTCAGCTCATGACCACAGCCAATGCAACCTAGTCAAAATGTCGAGAGAGGTAAATACCTTTATTTGCTATAAAATTTGTTTGTGTTAAGATTCAGTTAGTAATATAAATAATGTATATTAAACACAAAAGTTTAAAAATAACTACTGATGAATCTGGTAGTGTCTACTTGAATATGGCTTTCAAAAACACAATTTGGTTTGTGATATAAACTAGAAGATTATATTAACTGTAACTGTTGAAAATTCGCATGGCAAGTGGAGGCGAGTCAGTTGTTTCGACATGTACCTCACTTATATATTATATATGCATTTGTAAGTTCATAGATATAGTATGTGTTACAACAGCCAGCTGTTCTATTAATTCGCTTAGCAAATCTGGCATGAATTATGACAATGCATTGTTTGCAAATATGTGACATATTTGATTCTCAGTTAGTCCAATACAATTTTAGTGGCTACTCAATAGAATATATTTTTTAAATAATAGAGAGTGATTACATTAAACTGTAAAAACAAAAATAACATGTTTTGGAACTGAGAATGAGAGCTGCAAATTTAAAGATTCCCTTGTTCATTGTACACTTAGTATAATATTAATTTCTTTGATAGATTGGAAACAATGCTATAATAAAAACTTGAGGGGACTGGTCTGTTTGGGTTATTAACACTGAGTAGACTATTTGCCTTTGTAATAGCATATGGTGGTCACTCTATACCACCAAATTTGAATTTAAAAATGAATCTGTATTATTATAAACATGTACAATGTTTATTTGAAAAGAACAGGCTGAGTTTTTTGTCAGTTGTTCTCATCTCGAAATCATTCCACACTAACGGTAGATTTGACATACCATAAGAGTCTGTAATAGACCTACATGAATAAAGATAATTTGAATTTGATTACACCCATACACAAGCTACTATAGTTTTCTTAAATAATGGATTTATGAGTTTTTTCTCATCACTGTCAAAAGAAAATTAACATATTGTAGAAGTGAGGATGAGAGCTGCATTTTAAGATTCCCCTATTCATTGTAGTTAGCAAAATCCTGATTTCTTTGATAGACAGGAAATAATCATTACATCCATATACAACTTACTATACATTGCATCCTACTTCTTGGTCTACTTGTATAATATGGATTTACATTTTCTTTAATTACAAATGTTCACAAAATAAATATCTTCTATAAACACATATATTATGTACTTTCTCTCTCTTCCCCACATATACATCACAGATTGTTAATAGTGCAAGCTAATAGCCTGATTATAGATAAACAAGGAAAAAATTGGAATGCTCACAAATCACTTATTAAAGTAATTTTAAATTAAATATGTTAAAACACTATTAACTGTGAACTGATTTTCATTAATCAATGGATTAATAATTGTTGACAATGCTGCTAGAAAAACTAATAAGAATTTTGTTTTATTATATGTATTACATATATTATGATCAAAAGAGAAATATAGAAAAAAAAAAAATTAAATCAATATGATTAATTTAATTATGGTAAGTAAGTCACTGTTAAAAGATATGTGATAATATATTTTTTCATATGATTATCAATTTTGCAGTTAATACAAATATTTTCTATAACAAACCAGCATTTGTAGTAGTCTGTGGTTTTTACACAATATAACTTTTATGACATGAAGTATGAATTCAGGAGGATGAATCATTTTGCAAAATATAGAAATATGTAATTATAGACTGACGAATAGAAATAAGAGTTTGGGCAAAGAATTAAGAACCTGTACAGTGAAAGGTTGATTTTTACTATATTTTGACATAACACACCCCTGAAAGAATTTTCAGTCTAAATGATACGCTGTGATCGATGTTAATCTCAATGTATAAATGACCGCTTTAGGTTATTCAATTTTTTTAATTCGATAGCGTATATCTCCAACTACATTATTAGATATTACACGAACAGATCATATCCATAAAAAGAATAACTGAAAATTAGTCATAAAATAAGTTATAATATAAGAAAACCTAAGTTGCAACCATGGCACTTACATAGTTTGAGTTGTATCCGACAGCTTCGGAAGCATTGTCATAGGTTGCATTACTTTCTTAATCTTTTAATTGCCTCATGAATTTTAATAATAAAGTCAATTTTAGATAACACTAAAAACTATCACAATTTTTAGCAAAAAATGCAAAATTGACGAAGCCGACCGAGATGAAGAATGCGTTTTGACTCACTTGCTGTCACTTGTTATAAGTTTTATAAATTATTCAGAACTATTGTCTTTTTTTACTACTGTTATCTCAATTTAATTAAATAAACGAAATATAAGTAAGTAATTAAATAAACTTTTGAAATTATTACCGTAACATGAAATAGACATAACACTCGTTTTGAAATAATAATCATCGTTAATGAATGATTAAACGAAACGTACTATAGTATGTTTTCTTTAACAATAATAAATTTACGGAGAGGACCGATTGTCCCTTTAACAATAATTTATTTAAAAATATAAAAATAGGTAGATACGAATTATTAAACAAGACAATATTTGATAATATTAACATTCTAAAAGAAGAATAATCACTACTTACTTTATAAAAACATTTTCAGTTATTTATCTGTGGATATTAGCAGCGTGTAATAATTTAGTCAATGAAAACAAAGTCGACTGACTTGACAATTTGACAGCTGACCTGACAAAGCAGTCAATTGATTTTTCGAAAATGGTAAAGATATTTGTAAATTATTATAATTTTTGGATAAATATCCGTTAGATAAGTATAATATAATGTGTAATAATATTTCAGTCGTTACCAAACAAGATTTCTATGCTTCTGTCCCGGCCCGGGGACAACAATGCCCAGAAAGATGACGTTCCCTGGTGGATGCGATACGGTGGTCGGATCCTGGGCACAGTTGGCAGCTTCAGTATGTATATATTTATTATAATAGATTTGTGTTAGTTTACAAATAAGTATATTGTTATAAGATATAGCATCAAATCATGAATATTCCATATTGAAACTACTATAGTATCTTATTAAATTAATATATAATTAAAATTATATTCCTCCCAGCTTTATTGTAGCAATAAAAATTAATAACATCATGTTATAAAATAATTGATTTAGATACCTATATGACGTTTAAAACTTACAAATAATGAATAATCAAAGGATAGTCAAATAGGGGCGGATACTTACCTAATTATTGAATTATTATAAATATAGAACTATAATATGTAACACACTAATTACTTTATAAAATTTTAACATACAATTTATCTGTGTCACATTACATTTAAGGCAGAGATTGTCAAGTAAATATCATATACTTTGATTGTATTTATACTATTTTATATATCTATACTTACATATAAATAAAATTGGAGTGTCTGTTTGTAATATTGAAATAACCGTTTTTTACTACATGCATATGAATATAAATATTTATCTGTCTGTCTGTTTGTTCCGGCTAATCACTGAAATGGCTGGACCGATTTTGACAGGACTTTTTTGGCAGGTAGCAGATGTAATGAGGAGTAACTTAGGCTACCTTTATTTTAGAAAAATAAAGTTAAATTCCATGAGAACAAAGCCGTGGGAACAGCTAGTATATTTATAAATGTGTAGTAGTATAGCAAGTATGGGATAGGAAATTCATAAAATAACAGTATAGGCTTTAAATGTTATCTCACTAGTTTGATACTAATTGACTTATATAAGAAAAAATGAGACCTAGTAATGACTAGTTCAACTTATGTTGAAAGGAGGGCAACACAATACATTGACTAATATCAACAAATTTATCATTCCAACTAACCACATACAGATATGTATTGTATGTAAGGTCATTTGTTATTTAAAAATAGCCTTTTTTTTAAGGTTACACTGTTTTACCACTTATGAAAAAAAAACATTAACATTTTGTTTACCTATGTGATTTGCCCTTTTCTTTCCGTTTTCTGTACTCTTCATAAAATTACAGGAAATAGAAACTAACATGAAGTTGCAGTTCAGAAACTTTAGATTTTAAGAAATTATTAAAAATTCTCCAATAAATTGACAGTCTCAGTAGTATAGTGGTTTAGCATAGCCCCACATTACTTCCATTGGCCACTGGTTCAAATTGTTACACATTACAAACATTTGTATTTATGAGTATGATTGTTTGAATTGATCTGGTTGTTTTCTATCTATATTATGTAGGTATTTACAAAAAAATATTTAAACAAATCAGTTGTACCCATAATGCAAGCTCTGTTTAGCTTGAGACTAGATGGCGCTGCATGAATTGTCCTGGGGTTATTATTATTAAACAAGCTGAAACTTTGTAGTTCAGTATTATAACTAAATTTGGTCTAATTATAAAAATACTCATTACATTATTATCTAGTATCTATTAATAATAATATGATACACTTTTGTATCATAATATATTACTACATATCTTCTATTTGTGCTACATATCTGCTGCATGACATTTTATAATAAATAAATAATAAATAATCTCAGGACAATTCACACAGCGCCATCTAGACCCAAATTAAGCTACCTAAAGCTTGTGTTATGGGAACAAGATAACTGGTACAAGTACATAGATATATTTTTTTTCGCAAATACATACATAGAAAATACCCAGACCGATACAAACAATTATACTCATGAATACAAATGTTTGTGCCGTGCGAGGAATCGAACCCGCGACCATCGGAAGTAAGGCGGTGTGCTAAACCGCTAGACCACCAAGGCCGTCAATTTTGTTGTTCTTATTTATTAATATTATATTATTCTTATCATATAGACCTGAGAAGTAAAGTTAAAAAAGAAATGTATTCTTTTTTAACTTTTTACCACACACAACCACCTTGTGGAATCACCTTCCAGGAATAGTATTTCTGTATAATACTAAAACCTTGGGGGGAAAGAGGTTGTTAGAAATGTTGATTCATAATTTCATTTCTAACTCAATATACCACATCAGTTTGACCTCCACATGGTTCTCCCTGGAAACTATATAATTTCTTGGTGAATTTATCATAATGGGCTAACTGACCTGACCTCATTGACCATTTGCTTAGCTTGGCCATTGCAGTTAAATTAAAAAAATATTGTATATTTTTAGATATCTGAGTGTTTACTAAGTCAGTTCCAATGTATTAGTGTTGGTTAATAACTACGGGTATTAATAAATGTATGTAATATTTATTTTACTTATTTATTTAAGTATATATATCTATCACAATTCCACTTATTAAAAGACACAACTGGCATGTTCCGCTGTCGTTACCAGAATGCCGTGGCTCACAAAATTTCCCTCCTTTTATACCAAGAGGCGTGGGGATATTATCGCAACTATTTCAGTAATAATCAAAGTACCTCCTTTTAATGTTTTAAATTATCTATTTTTTCGCCAATAATGACTTGAACCCTAACATTAGTAAATTTGTAAATACAATTGTAATCAGTAAATAAACATTGGAAATACCCATGTCTACGCTATGGTGCTGTTACACACTTCTTTGTCACATCGACGAAAAGTAAAAGTGGTTTAAATTTTCTGCACAAAATTCCTTAAATTTTAAGCATGAGCATTCTATTAAATCTTAACTTTTTACTTGTGGCTCATCCCCGGCTTCCCACTGTTGGACATTTTTTTTACAAAATAATACATTTTTATCTGATCCTAGTTATTGATATGTTCTTCAATATTATAGAACATACTTTTGTTCTATCACCAATAGTTTCCTCAGTGCAAGCGACGAAAGATATTTTATGTTTTTACCTTGAGTTACATTACTAAAGTTTTAGTAAGGATCCCTAATATTCTAACAATAAATATAGCCTATGTTACTCAGGGTGAAGGTAGTTTTCTAATGGTGGAAGAATTTTTGAAATCGGCAAAGTAGTTTTTTATTCATTACAAACATACATAAACAAAAATACAAATCTTTCCTCTTTATAATATTAGTATAGATTTGGTTTTACCATCGCAACTTCGTCTTCATAACACTTTCTTGACATTTATCATTATATTTCGCGCAATTTAGATAATATCTTTTTAAATTATAGTCTATGTATAATTCTGATGTGTAAGCTATATCACTAAAGTTTCATCAAAATCTGCAGTAGTTTTCGCGTGAAATAGTAACAAACATCCATCCATACTCACAAACTTTCGCGTTTATAATATTCGTTATATAGGAAATATAACTGATAGTTATGTAAATATACTATACACATATTTGCGTACTAAATCTTTATCTAAGCAATTTAAACTGTAAATACTAGATAATAGTAAAAACATCAACTTGTGATTCTGTCTACTAACAATAGTTATGGTTTCTGTTTAGAATATTTATTGATATTAATTCATTTATATAATTTTTTGATAGTACAGTTACTTCTATATGTATATATATATATGATATTTATATATTTAGGAAAAAAAATTATGTATTTGTATCAGTTATCTAGTACCTATAAAACAAGCTTTAGCTAGCTTAACTTGGGTCTAGATGGCTCTGTGTGAATTAGTAACAAAATAACAATATACATTTTATTTAGATCATTTATTTAAATAGCAAAATAATTTTTTTTAAATATATTTATAGTATATATATTAGTTGCCCCGCGATTTCGTCCGCGTGGAATTTAACTTTATTTTTCTAAAATAAAAGTTAAAAGCCTAAGTTACTCCTTATTACATCAGCTACCTGCCAATAAAAATTCCGTCAAAATCGGCCCAGCCATTTCAGAGATTATCCGGAAGAAACAGAGAGCAGACAGACTGACAAAAATAGTAAAAAATGTTATTTTGAATAATGTATCGTATTTATATTCATATGCATGTAGTAAAAACGGTTATTTCAATATTACAAACAGACACTCCTTTTATTTATATTTATAGATTATAGACTACTGATAACTATTTAAACTCGCGTGTTTAATATACATAATTTGTATTGTTAACCGGATCTTAACACGAATAATTTTATGGTAAATAAAGGTTAGCTCATGACCGCGGCTAGTGCAATCTAGTCGTAACGTTGAGGGATGTAAATATTTTATTTACCACTTCATTTACCATAAAATTATTCGTGCTAAGACAGTGTGGTCCCCAAAGTGGTCTATATCGACCCACAGAGGTATGTAAGGAGTCTACGACAGCGGTCATCTTGTTGTTTTTAACACTAATCTTTACTACAGTTAGAAATTTACAAAAAATCAATACCAGGAATGGGGGTGTACCCAAAAACCGAAAATTATGGCAACGGGTCTACGACACAAAAAAGTTTGGTTACCTCTGCTCTACAGAGTATAATATTCATTTTTGACTACTGCTAACTTTTATAACGGCCTTGAGTATTTACCTTTTGCAACTGTAAATTTGTAATCCTATTCATTTACTCTATATATAAAAATATGGCAAGAGGTCTGCGACTTAAAAAAGTTTGGTTACCTCTGCTCTACAGAGTATAATATTCATTTTTGAGTACTGCTAACTTTTATAACGGCCTTGAGTATTTACCTTTTGTAACTGTAAATTTGTAATCCTTTTCGCTTACTCTATATATACAATATTAATCCTTTTTATATTGATTAGATAAGCGATATCTAATGTTCCTATCTACCGATTAGCAGATGTTTTGGGAATCATCGTTGACACATATTTTTTCATTAAAAACATAACTGTAAATTCACTAACTGTAATACTTACATTAACTATACTGTTATGGTATAATATCCGTTATGTTTATGTATATCAGTGATTAGTCATTTATTTGCATATAGTTTTTTTTTCATACCTATACATTTATATATATAAATAAAATTGGAGTGTCTGTTTGTAATATTGAAATAACCATTATTTACTACATGCATAGGAATATAAATGCGGTATATACACCAAAATAACATTTTTACAATATTTGTGTGTCTGTCTGTTTGTCCGGCTAATCTGTGAAACGGCTGGACTGATTTTGACGGGACATTTTTTGGCAGATAGCTGATGGAATAAGAAGTAACTTATGCTACTCTTATTTTAGAAAAATAAAGTTAAATTCCATCCGGACGAAGTCGCGCGTACGGCTAGAATATAATTAGAGTGCTATGATCTAGTGGTTTTACTATATCTATATATTAATACGTGAAAAGTAACAACTTTGTACCCCTTTTTACGAATATTGCGCTAACGGAGGAGTGTGAAGTTTCGCAAACAAATCTTTATATTTAAAAATTATGTGTACGTGACACGTAATTTTTTTTTGTCCGCGAAGGACTCCTAAACTACCGAACCGATAGCAAATTTGATTTGCACATTGTGTGCAATTTGATGCAACTTGAAAGATACGATAGCATATATCTCAATTTATAGTCGCAATAGAATAGAATAGAATAGAAAATCATTTATTCAAATAAACTTAATTTCAGCACTTGTTAATAGTCATAATTTTTTTTTAATATTAATTTATTTTATTGAAAATTATTTATCTATTATTATATTAGCCACTGCAACGCGTGGCCGGGTCTGCTACTAGTTTATATATATGAATGCAGATGAATATTTTGTTTAATTTATGCATAAATAACACATTAAGTCAATAAAAAAAACATTACGATGGTTGTGTACCATTTATTTGACACACACACGCATATATACTCTTTTGTTTGTCTAAACTTGTAATATTGGGCAAACACAACTATTAATTAAATCGTCCGTTTTAGTATGTAGCTCTTTTATTGATGACACAGAGGAAACAAATTAATATGTTTATTTGGAAATAAATGCAATACATACTTAATGTAAAACGGAGTTTTACATACGCATCACTCCTCTCACATTAACTTGAAAACCTGGTAACAAAATTCTGTTTTTCCTGCCTCTTACAACATTGGGTTTTTCAAGTCAAGAGTTAGACCACATCATATATATATATATATATATATATATTACATATATATAAATTTAAAACTACGCAACGGATTTTGATGAGGTTTTTTTAATAGATAGAGTGATTCAAGAGAAAGGTTTATGTGTATAATACATGTACACCCGTGCGATGCCGGGCCTAGTAGCTAGGAATATAATTTGATTAAGGTTTATCAAGAGATGTCGCACTAGGTAGGCGTCTCACTATTATCCCCAGCTGTTACAAGGAGGGGGGAAGAGCACTGGCTGGCCTTAGGGGGTGGCGAACAGGGCAATCGTCTGGGGCCTCACGCTTGCAGAGGTCTCGCGTAAGAAACAACCAAAGTAAATTTTAAACATTGTAAAATGTTAAAAAAGGGAAAAAGGATTTACGGGTATTCTTTAATTTATATATATATTTTATTATTTTTTTTTCTTCTGCAAGTAACATTCACGCACAACACACACATTAACTAGATATTTCGAAACACATTATGTACATTATTACACACTGGTATTTATTGTATATATATATATATATATATATATGTATGTATATAATCACCCAACAGTAAAGCTTATAATATAGTAGTAATCTATTTGAATCGCTAATTCTTGCATTTGAATTATATAGTACTCTAATTGTAAAATAATTCACCATAAAATAATTTATCTAATTCTAAAATAGTCAACTGAAGTGCATATTGCATATATTTGATATCCGCGCTCCCAGCCCCCAAGATACAGGTCTGACCTAGTTTGGAGACTACAAATAATAGAAATATATAAAAAATGTATTGTAGTAAATATGTAACTGTAACTTTAACTGTAAAATTAGTCTTATAAAAAACAAATGTGCTTAAAATTATAATTGTGTGGCAAGTTGCAAAAAGTTCCCGATTTAGGCATTTATTCACAAATGAATAAAATTACCAGAACTAACATATACAAATAAAAATAAAAAATAAAAAAAATGAAAAATAGGGCTTGGTCAAAAAAAAACGTCAGTCTGGTGTCGAGTCAGCCACACACTTTCACGAAGGATAAAGGGCCTCACAAAGACCTATCGCCCGGGGCCTCGCAAAGTCCTGCCGCACCGGGGCTTCGCAAAGTCCTGCCGCCCCGGGGCCTTGCAAAGTCCTGCCGCCCCGGGGCCTCTCAAAGTCCTGCCGCCCAGGGCCTCGCAAAGTCCTGCCGCCCCGGAGCCTCGCAAAGTCCTGCCGCCCCGGGCCTCGCAAAGTCCTGCCGCCCTGGGCCTCGCAAAGACCTGCCCGGGGCCTCGCAAAGACCTGCCCGGGGCCTCACAATGAGTAAGGCCGCCGCTGGGGAAGAGAAAAAGAAGGAGTGTCCTCAAATTCGTGTAATAACTCCCCTCGTAAGAAACAAGGACGAGGGGGTGAGGTTTTTTACATTCGTGTAACGCTTTATGTGGACGCCACCTAATATTAAAACAAATGGCAACTATTCATTGAGCTATACAGAACTCCGTCGGTCAAGGTCTATTTATAATTTAGTGTGGGCGTGAAATAGCCTAGCGATTGGGGTCTCCAAGCGACTCCAACACTACGTCAAATTATTACATTTATAGGTATCATTGTTGGTGAGTTAGCGACTAGGAAAATAAATATAGATAATAATCTATACTATACAATTTTATTTATATGTATAGATGTAGATATAAATAAAATTGGAGTGTCTGTTTGTAATGTTGAAATAACCATTTTTTACATGTATTTTATGATTTTTTCCCGTTAACATTGTATATATTTTGGGGAATTATTTATACTTTATAATTCTACTGAATAGAGAGAATGTACGCAACACTTAACTAACAATCTATAATACATATAAATAAATTTGGAGTGTCTGTTTGTAATATTGAAATAACCGTTTTTATATTGTTATACTTTATTTGTTATACTACATGCATATGAATATGAATACGGTACATACACCAAAATAACATTTTTTATCATTTTTGTCTGTCTGTCTGTCTGTTCCGGCTAATCTCTGAAATGGTTGGACCTATTTGGACGGGACTTTTTTTGACAGGTAGCTGATATAATAAGGAGTGACTTAGACTACTTTTATTTTAGAAAAATAAAATTTAATTCCACGCGAAGTCGCGTGTACAGCTAGTAATAAATAACCCTGAACAATAACAGCGCCATCTAGTCCCACAGTAAGCAAAACTTGTGTTATAGGTACTAGACAACTGATATAAATTCTTGAATGCTTTTTTTCGTAAGTACATACACACACAAGAAACAATCATACTCATGAATACAATTTTTTCACCGTGTAAGGAATCGAACTCGCGACCATCGGAAGTAAAGCGTGCTAAACCGCTAGACCACCGAGGTCGTCTAAGATTATTTGATATGTTATTTCATGTATTCCATGGATGCCCCCTTAACAATTGAACGCAAATATTCCATTCCAGTCGCCATTATCCTCGGCCTACTGAATGTGGCTGGAATCATCTTGCTGGACGTGCGGTGCCTGATCGCCGGCATCTGGCAGATGCTGGCCGGCTTCGTGGTGATAGTCGCGGAGGCGCCGTGTTGCTGCTTCTTTATAGACTACGTCCAGACCCTGTCAGACAAGATAGAGTCCAGGCCTTATTGGAATAAGGCAGCCTTATATGTCGGGTGAGTGCTGAGGTCGATGAACATATGACTGACTGAGAAGGAGGTTGGTAGGAATGGGGCTGCCTCTATTGCTAGCAATGTAAGGTACATTGCTAGCATTGTTAGGTCGACTTCTACGCGTGGTGATAGTCGCGGAGGCGCCGTGTTGCTACTTCTTTATAGACTACGTCCAGACTCTGTCAGACAAGATAGAGTCCAGGCCTTATTGGAATAAGGCAGCCTTATATGTCGGGTGAGTGCTGAGGTCGATGAACATATGACTGACTGGGGAGAAGAAGGTTGTTAGGAATGGGGCTGTCTCTATTGTTAGGTCAACCTCCACGCGGTTTCCCCTAGAAGCCATCTTTGTTTGTTCCTGGCTATTTAATCACGATGGGCAAGCTGACCTGACTTCATGCTCATCTTATCATCCTCCACTGGCGCCCCGCCAGCGTAAACCGTTAGCGCAGACGGGTGCACCATTCCATTATTATCCATGAAAAAAAAACATTTGACTGACTGGACGGTAGGGAAAATATTATAAATACAAAAATTTACGTCATAAGCGGCTAAAATGTACTACGTAAATAAATGATTTTGAATTTTAATATGAGGTGGGGGAGACGCGGATTGATTGGACTGACGAATAGGTTTTTTAGTCCAGATAGGATAAACGGATCTGGACCAAAATACCCCATTGCCAGCAATTTGTACCATGTTAGGTTGGCAACTACGCGGTTCAAGTAACCATCGCAATAAATTCCTGGTGAATTAGTATATGCTAATTGACCCTCATGCTCATCTTATCATCCTCCACTGGTGACTCGACAGTGTAAATCGTAAATATACTGGCTTTAAAAAAAAATAAAATTGAGCTTCTGCCAGTTCTTCTCAATTGGATCGATCGATCGATAAGGAAAAATTGTAGTATAAAAAATTTGACGTTCATAAGCGGCTAAAGTGTCCTGGGGGCGTATTATGAACTCTTTAAAATCCAGTCAGTTTCCAGGCAGTTCAGTTTACGGCCTTAAACTGAATTGGAATAAGAGTTCATAATACGCCCCCAGCACGAATAAATGATTTTAGAATTTGAATTTGAATTTAATCTTAATAATATTATAAACACGAAAGCTTGTGAGTATGGATGTTTGTTACTCTTCTCCAAAAAGTACTGAACGGATTTTGATGAAACTTTACAGTAATATAACTTGCATCAGAATAACACATAGGCAATATTTTATATTGAAATTTAAAGCTTGTGAAACCGGGCACAGATTAGTATATTATAAAAATTGACTTGCTTAAGTGAATGTACTTGATGCTTTTGAGTTATAGTGTTGTTTTTTTTTCAGATTGTCTCTGCCTCCGTTCTTCCTTTGCTTCTTCAGTGTGAGCACATTCCTCGGCAGCGGCTCCATCTTCGCTACTGGCATCATATACGGCATAATGGCGCTTGGCAAAAAGTGAGTACACGCAAATTTGACTTCTATTGTCTTAGGAATAAGTTACTACTATAATATTTATTTTATTTGGGGTTTCTTGTTAAATGGATCGCTTTTGGGTATTAATACTGTGATGATTTTATTTAAAATTGTAGGAACTAATATATATACTTGATATATTTAAATACATATATATTTGTAATATATAATGTACATATGTACATAGAAAAAGTCTAAATTTTTATAAATATTAATATTAATTAAAGCAAAGATATATATTGGACGGGAGTCGAATCCGTAACTATCAGACAGTGTACTAAATTTACTCATTATATCATACACCACTTTATATCAAATTAATACGTGCGACTTCGTCCGTGTGGAATTTTGCGACATTACTTTAACTTTATATTTCTAAAATAAAATATTTTTCTAAAATAAAAGCAGCCTAAGTTACTCCTTATTACATCAGCTACCTGCCAATAAAGGTCCCGTCAAAATCGGTCCAGCCATTTCAGAGATTAGCCGGAACAAACAGACAAACAGACAAACATTATTAACAATGTTATTATGGTGTATTTATATTCATATGCATGTAGTAAAAAACGGTTATTTCAATATTACAAACAGACACACCAATTTTATTTATATGTATAGATAAAGCGCTGAATAAAATAAAGAGTTATCATAGTTGTGACCATTTAAAAAAAAACCCTACGTACATGTAAATTAATGCGTTAATTGTAAAATGCAATGTAATTTGTAATAATTATTAACTGGGTTGAAGGTTTAATAATATGTATTTTCTGCCGTCCATTAACTGATATGTGTGTGTGTGTGTGTGAGCTTGTGGGTTACTGTGTGAAGGGTAAAATATCATAATCATAATCGTTTTCATTAAATAACGTATACTCTATTGAAAATCATATACATACTGGTTTTTCATTGAAGCGTTGAATTTATTTACATACATAAGTAGTTCATGTTTAAAACTAACTACAATAAAATAGAAATAAAAATTGTTAAAAATTTTAATTTAAGCACTTTTGAGTAGTTATAATCATTTTTTTGGATCTACCACTCATTCGAAAAGCCAGCTCATCTCAAGAATATTGAACAAGAAACTTGTGTGTTGCTGTGTAAATAAATGTTGTAATTTTAGATTTTTAAGTTAAAATATGTGAATAAATAGGTTCCGAACATTAAGTATGGACTATTAAATTCAAATTCAAATTCAAAATATCTTTATTCATATATTACAGACTATGATATTTAATTAGTCATACGTCATTATATATATATTACTAATATTTTTAAACTTTATATAAATTACTGTTTTTTAAATTTTGTATAAACTCAATCATGTGCAAGTATAAATTATTTCACTTATTATTTATTAAAAAAAATATTACTTCACTTTTTAATGTATGTACTAAAATCGCTCGGTTATAAAAAACTATAATGACTTTGATCGTTCTATTCCGGGCATATACGTTTTTTAATGAAAATTAATATAAATTAACACGTAGAGTAGAATGTAACATATGAGGTGGTACTAACATTGGCCGAATCTGTGCTTGTGCGTGTGTGTGCGCGCGCAGGGGCTCTCGCGACGACATGGCGGCGATGGCCGCTGGCGGCAGCACGCCGCCCGGCGCTCCGCTCGCCTCCCAGGACCACACGCTCACCCTCATGGAGGATCCCGACGTGTGGCGCCCTAACTAAGGCAGGCTCACCCCGCTTGCACGCTCACCATATACTTGTAATAGCCCGTTAGCCACCGTTATTTAACCAAATTTATGGTTAGCTACCGATAAAATGCGGTTATTAACGGTTAGTTATCCGCGAGAAAGAAAAAGAGTAGAAATTTGTTTGTTGTTTTTTTTGTGTAGTTTTTTTTTTAAATATAGGATATATCTGGTCTAGATGATGAAACACCTATATCCTCTGGGGTTTTGTAATGTTTTTCATACATGTTCATTAAATAGTGCAGTCAGGTGTGTACCTAGAATTGAGAAGGGTTTGTTTTTGGAGTTTCTAACTGAGCTTAAAGTTAATTTGTCTTTTGTTTCTGGTCAATCAGCTTTGGGCTCTTGCAAAGTATCAAGCATAAAATCCGGTTAATTAACCGTTAATAATAAAAAAGTATTTAAACCTCTCGGTTAAATTCGTTAATAACCGGCTTCGCATCTATACTCACGACGCATGCCACGCCGCTACTCGCACGCTCCGCACGTCACGTAAACGTAGCGTGCACACGTTCCATTTATTGTGATTACTTTATACTTTGTCTGTGGTAGTTTAACACATTAACCGGTTTATTAATTCAAACTTAATTTAGCTATAATATTTTGTACTTTTTTTTCTAAGTAATAGTGTAAATATTAATGCAGCAGGTGAGTATAGTGAGTGAGTATAGTTGTTCAGATTTCTAGATATCAAATGTTTTTTGCAATTCCTCACTGTTCTTTTTCTATATATAGACTTTAAGTAAGTTTAAGTTGCTCCTAAATGGGTTATTATATTATACATTTATTTTGCTGTCAAAATATCGATGAATTATTTTAACATTAATTTTACAACGATTTAATTTCAGCTAGACGTAGTTATTTGTAGTAGTTCTATTATACCATCGTTTATAATTTAAGACTAATTTTATTAGCTATTTGAAATGTGCTACTGCATGAATGTGTTAATCTGGCTCGAAGGATCAATTTGTAAATTTTTATTAATATTAACACTATTAAATGTAAGTAGCAATCTTACAACTAGTTAGTGAGTACTATTTGTAGCTGCGAGTGAATTGATGCCAATGCAACTCATCACTTATTTTGCACTGTTGAATTGTAAATGTACTCATGCACTCGCAATATTTTATTTTTTATTTAATTGTCGCTGGAAGAAACTAGTATCTATCATACAGGCTCTGCCTAGTTTAGCACTGGAATGTATGTTGCGTATTTAATAAAAATGTATTTAATAATAATTGTTTTAGAGAATGATTGTAAAGTTATAAAAATGATGTTAATAAAAAATATTTTTATTATTTATTTTATAACTGTTTGTGTGGATTTTTTTGTGAAATAAAATTAATTAAATTGTTTATATGACTAGGGCGTCAGTAGAGGACATGAGGACGTCGGCTGCGAACATCGAGGCGGGGTTGGGCCAGCCGACGACGACGGCCCCGCGGGCGACCCTCGTCACCAACGAGCAGCCCGCCAGCTTCACCGGCGCGCCCGTCACCTACTGACCGCCACCTCGGTTGGCGCCGTGAGTCTCCTTCATTGTTATGCTCTCCTGGTACCAGATTCTCCCCGTGTAGCTATATCGAAAGTTGAATTTATTGCGAAATTATTTATTAATTATAAATTTATACTCACATTTTTCTTCAAGGTTTGATTATGTAAATTGATAAAAACAACTGTATATATTTTTTTGTACATAGAAAATATAAAGACCAATCAATACAAACATAAATAATGCATGTTTGTCATGTGCGAGAATCGAAAGTGAGACTATCGGAATATGAGGTAATATGCAAACCTCTATACCAATATGGTTGTCGATGTGTTATGCAATTTTGCATATACAAATCTGTTACTGCCAAAAACAAGCTTATGTTTGTTAAAATATAAAGTTTAATTACAAAGTTATGTATTTTGGTTACCAAAATTAAATTTCCTGTAACAAAAGTGTCATGGCGTCTGTGACGTCACAGGTATCGCTTACGTACGTTAAGTCATAATCAGGGTATAATATAATACTTTGGGGTTGAAAATACGTGACAGGATAGAAAAAAACAAAGTGTACGCTGCATTCATCTCATCATAACGTGCGGAGTCTTCAATAATTTATTTTATTTAAGTGTAATAATTATTTTTATATGAAATTATAAAATGCACAACTCCATTGCTTTTTATGTTCAGATGAACGGCCATGTAGGAGTTTTGGGTGCGAGTCAGTTAGAACAGATAATTAGTTTTAAGTTATAACGATTTAGTATCGTGATATTGTAATAGAACCAATCTGTCTCTTGAATTAAATGAAAAGTGTTATCATATCTAATATTTAGAATATGTAGAGTACAGTACTTTATTTACAACGAAATTAGAATTGTTATAGTTAAGTTTGAATGAAAGATTCTAACATTGTACCTAGTTCTGACGTAACTTAGCACGGTCTTACTTAGTGCAGAACTGTAGCTTGTACTAAACTTATATATATATCTTATATATAAAATTCTCGTGTCACAGTTTTCGTTCCCATACTCCTCCGAAACGGCTTGACCGATTCTCATGAAATTTTGTGAGCGTATTGAGTAGGTCTGAGAATCGGCTAACATCTATTTTTCATCCTCCTAAATGTTAGGGGTAGTCCACCCCTAATTTTTTTTTATTTTAAGGCAGAACAACGTTTGCCGGGACAGCTAGTATATATATATTAGAGTTGATTCAATATTTTTTTATATAATTTTCATCTGGTATCATGGAGAGCTTTGTATGTAATGTAAATGCACATGTTTGTATAACTTTGATGACCATATGTTTTCTAAGTGAACATTTCCAAACATTCCGCGTAGTTTTACGGCGTGTTGCCAACAACACATATGAGTTGTCCTCCAAAATTATATAGTATTGCCAAATTATATAGTTCAATTTCGCACTGACATTGGTAATATCGCTTTTAGGCGGTATCGAATGGTATCTGTGTTGGTTTTGAGTGGCAGATATTGTAGGTTATATTTGAATATCCGTATATTGTCAAAATCGGCTCGTGTATGACATATATGACAGATATCAATGCAATATCAGGATATTTAGTACATGGTTTGACCACTCGATATCAATATATTGGATATTGCATCAATACGTGGATATTGCAAATATAAAACACGTGTACTACCGATGGTTAAGTTTACAAAATAACTAATATGTTTTAGTTAGCTGTACTGGTAAGAATACGGTAATGTAGTGAAATTTAATGTTACATTTATAGTGTAGACATGTTACCATATCTTATTATAATATCATAACAGAGGCTTAATATTGCTAAATAATTGTGTGAACTTAGAGATGGAAAGTGATGGACCGCATATTATTGAAATGAAATGAAATGATTTTTATTTTGCGAGAAATGTGGTGTGCACAGATGTTATAAAGTACATATGGTTCTATACAATCCGCCTTATATGAAGACATGCAAAATTTTATATTAATTATGCTTCTGTAAATAATTACACAATTCTGTCTTTCAGATAGCATATTACATTATTATATTATACAATTTTAAGAAATTATTATATCTATATTATTATTCAGTCATTATATGTCAATATTATTACTGTTATGTCATTACTATTATATTAATATGATCCAATTCTTAACTCATTTTACCATCAAAATTTAATAATTCTTTTACTGTATAAAAACATCTCTCAATTAACCAGTTGCGTAATCTATTTTGAAAAATTTCAAAAGACATTTCTCTAATAGTTTGAGGTATTTTGTTGTAAATTTTTATAATATAATTATTGAATGATTAATATTTTTTTCTTACTATAATTTACTCAGCATAATGACAGCAATCTGTATTATTTTTCCATTATATTTATTTATTATTACCGCTGTACACATAGCAGTAAATAAGTTAACAAGTAACATTAAATACAATAAGGGAATGTTTTTTTTAAATCAACATGAATTCTTGCTAGAAACATTATTTTATCATCTAATTATGAACTTTTGGATAATAACGAAAACTAATTTGAGATAATTTTATGAACATTTTGGTGATGTCTCTATAAACTTTTCTTTGCTTTTATATAATTTTTAACATTTATAGTGCTGTGGATTCACTTTTATTACATATATAGTTTCTTGCAAAATAAACGTAAAATCATACATATTTACTTTTATGTAATTATTTTATGAAATACGGTCGTTTAATTAATTTCAAACTAACAGTGTCGCATAATATTTTTTAAATATCGTAGAGGTTGTAGCATGCTTGCAATTATTTATGTTGCAACTGGAGTGTTAAGGTGTGAGAGTCATTCTTCGATAATATATATCGGCTTTTTAGATATAATTATTTAATTTAAATGTAGTTAATACTGATTTTATATTTATTCATTACAATAAACTACATATTATTTAATAGTAAACATAATAATTTCCTATCCTCTTCAAATAAAATATTACGCGTGGCATTTTATTTGAAAATTTATACCAACTCTCCAATTTGCCAGAGCCAAGAGAAAGGAAAAAAAACGCTCTAATTTTTTTTAGTTATGTATTTCCCGTCTCAGGAAAAAGCAAAGGAACTGAGCCCATACAGTCATTGACCAACTTTACAGTTTAGCGGGAATTTTGACATTTGGTCAAATAATGTCAAATTGTATGCGTTCTCGTTCTAGGTTAATTCAGATCCCGTACCCATAAATAGAACAATATGTTAATATTTTATAACTGTTGTTATGTTGTTTTATACAAGTCCAGAGTGATTGTGTTCGAAGTATATATAATGACGTATTTATACGTCTGTCTGTACGCATCTTTAATTAAATTATTAAGCACTCTATGATTGATGAAGTCGCAGAACGGCTTGTAACTATATTTTTTTATGATGATATAATTATGTTTAGTTAATAATGTTTAATGTTAGTATGGATATTATATTAGTTACTACAGGTTATTGGAACATGTGAATGATTTGTATGTCTTGGATGTAAACGTATACTTAAATGGCAAACTAACTTTATATATATTCTAAATTGTATTATAACATTCCAAAATGTACTGAAAATTTGGTCTCATTAGTCCTTTATACTTTAAAGTTATCCATCTTTTGGTCATATTTTAAATTATGTATTTTACTGAACTAAACTTTACTACTTTCTAATGAGGTTTATATTGCTTCAACGTATAATGTAGATGCTATCCAAGTAAGTTTTTATATATGGTGGCTTTCTTTAAGACGCGTTATAAAAACTTATATTTGAGTGTAAATGTTATTATAATCATTAATATTTATTGTAATGTAATTTATTATTATTATATTCTCTATATCTGCAAATAGGTTGTATTAAATACTGTATATGAGTTTTGAGTAGCATATATCGATACTAGATAGTTCAATATATCGGCGGTATAGGTCGGAATCAACGTTACGATACCCAGAAACGTAGCGTGCCTTGGCGGTGCCCCGTATAAAAATTTGTTTGGGGCCCTTACGAAGGGTAAAGATTTCTCACAAAAGAATAAAAAAATGCATAATATTAAAAGAAATATTTATTCATCAATTATTTATAATTAATATCTAAATATACACTCTCATTGGGTTTTTTGCCCAAATGATTGAATAAATCATTTATAGCTGATGCGGGAAAAAGAGAAATTGATTTAAACTTTTGTCATTTGTGTAAAAAAAAATTGGGATGTTAAATTTTCTTTACGCGCGTTGGGGCTCCCGTGACCCGGGGGCCCCATGTGACGTGACGATACCATACAGGCATGTAGTGGTACGGATATCGGTAACTGTTTATTCGATATTGTTAATACATTGTTGCGATTATTTATGTAAGAACATACAGATATTAACATGATGGCGTATTAGTGACAGTCTTTGTGCTAAGTTGTTGCTTGCTTTGTAACTACAGTTCGGTCGAGGGGCGAAATGTGCCAGAGTTATAGCATATTGAGCCATGATGCCTTAGTTCTTCGGAGCGAAATGTAGCAGCGAATCTATAGCGTTTTGGGCTTTTGTCATTATCTCACGAATGGCAGCGCATAGAGTTCCAATACAGTCAAGACTAATAGCAGACCTGTAAAATAGGATCGTATAAATGTCTACCAATAAATAATCTCTATGTAAAATACAAAGTCTCAATTAGGACATCAAAGCATCTTCCTTATACAATTTTAGGCAAATTGTACAATTATTCTTCATTTAAAAGATTTTAAAGTCTTTTTAAAAACACTGAATAACTTATGAATTATATTAAAATAATTTATATTTATCAATGAAATGTTTATATGTTCTACATTGTTGTCTTAGAGTAAACTTGCAAGACCATGGTATAGATACAATATAAAATTACATAATAATTGAATGTATACACTTCCACTGTTTTGTCCTTTTCTTACTAGATTTATTCATCATTTGAAAGTAGGCGACAGAACTATAATATGCAGCTGTATTTGTGAATATTAGATTGTACATTGAATTTATAAGAATTATATATAATTTTTCATACACATATCCACTTGAATTATAATACGGTCCATTCGTTTTGTTAGTTGAAATAAATTTAGATAAATTATATAATATTTTTGTCATTTATTATTGTGTAATTATATTCTACTTCCTCCCGGAAACTTCTAAGCTGGTTAAGACAATTAGTATTATTTTCATTGCTATTTTGGTTTTCCACCGCAAGGACACAAGTGACGAAAAAAAACCCTGGCTCGCGGACTATAATAACAGAGAAAGTTTGTCAGTATGGATGCTTGTTATTTTTTTATGCAATAACTACTGGATTACAATAAAATTTGGTACACAGATAGGTCATATCCTAGATTAATAAGTAGGATTTTTTATCGCAAATCACGCGTGCAGCGTTGAGGGTTATGGCTAGTACAAGCATTGTTAACACTTCATGGAGCTATAATTACAGTAAGACCTCGCTTAACGCTGTTTCGTTTCGGCGCTCCTTTATTTCAACCCGGGGATTCAGAACATAACGGAAAGATGTCGAGGAAATAGTTCAAGAAACAGCAGCTAGTGTTTCTAATGAGTTCAAGGAATTAACTGCGCAAGAAGAATATAAAAATATTGCTAGTAATGATTCCGAGGGAAAGAAAGTAAGATAGTTTCGTTTGACGCTGTTTCGGTTAGCGCTGGAACTTATTTGAACGTATCCCCCGCGTTAAGATAGGTCTACTGTATATTTCATAGATGCACAAACCACGTGTACCGTTGCTGCAGAATATTTTATTGTTTTAACTAAAATATTCGCCCTTTTAGGTCATTCTATTTATTTATACAGATATGTTTTTTTCGGAATGCAATAAAAAGTTTGATTATATAACACAGTTGCAATAGTTTCTTATTTGAAACGGATCTACATCAAGGTTCTTGTCTGGTATATGAGCATGACAGTTGCAGTTGCAAACTATTGTAACTACATCTGTCAAATTGTTCGTATAGAATTTCAAATCTGCCAATTTCAATATTGTGTTAGAAAACAGTTGCAACTGTTTTACGTAATGAAGTTTATGAGTGAAACGGTTTCTACATATAGCTATGTGTATATACTGAGCAAATATAGGGCCTCTGAATATTACGAAATGTTTTAAGTATTGTTGTAATGAGTGTACCGAAAGCAATCCAACACCACTGTTAATCTATTCACAAGATATTTTTGTAAAATATATGTGTACTCTAGTAAACTGTCGTTTGAGTATTTGTACGGATAAGGCACTAGTCTTTAGATAAAATTTATAGGTTAATGTTGCTCATACACAGCCAATATTATAATTTACGTGTATTTTTGATAAGCCTAACTTTTTAGTGTTGCCAGCTTACACTAAGATCTCGTGCACTATTCAAAGTATTTACGATCGAACGCTGGCAACACACGTTATACAATCGTATCGTATGCGTTTACGACTATCTCTAATTTAATAATTTTTATTTTGTAACATCCGTCGATTTGAATTTATTTCAGAATTTATTTTTAATTTGTAAATAATTTATTTATACTATCAATATGATTATCACACATGTTTATTTCGTAGCGTTTAGGATTGATTTTACTTTATTGTAAAATGTTAACTTTGATTCAGTGTAAATAAATGTTTTAAACATCTTAATTCTCATCGTCGGTAATTGTAATCTACTATAGGAATTGAACAAAATAATAAAATATTAACCGGTTATGAGTATTTGCATATTTTGGGTTCTGGACTGTACCTATTTGTTGCCATTGCCCACAATATGTTACATACTTATTGTTAAATTTCTTTTTATAAATCTATAATTAAACTACACTGAATCAAAGTTTCCTAAGTATAAATGGGGTCGCCAGACTAGTTTCTATGCAGTATTTCGTAAACTATAAACAATTATAACAAGATATCATAGTACGATAGCGGCATCTGTCTTAGCTTTCAGCAGGCTGACCCCATCGTTGGTGAACTATTAGGCATGGTATATGTATACATAATAGTTGTATAGAGTAAGCAGAAAGTTGTTTCCTGTCGGGTTATATGTTATTGTTAGGATGGCATATCTGTAATAAATGTGTGTATATTGAGTTTATTTGTTTTATTACTTGTCGTACCTTTCCGATCCCAAGCCCAGTTTCACGGCATTTTAGCATTATTCTAAATAAAATTACGGTTAAAAATATTAAAGCCAATTTAAAGCATCAAACACCACTATATACAATGAAAACATTAAAAGCCAAATGTAGATTTTCAAGTTCAAATATTTGACCCGATTTTCAAGAAATTTGGTATGAAGGTAGATTGTATAGTAGAGACTATATTTTACCTAAAACAATGCAGATAACAATCAGCTATCCTACAAAAATCTATTTGGACTTTAGGTAATATGCTATACTAATAGAAGCTCACAATTTTAAGTAATAAATAATTTTATACAATACTTTGTTTTTCATTATCCTCCATTGAAATAAGCAGAAAGAATATGAATGAAACATAGTTATACAATAATATAGTTTATTAAATATTTATATACAATCTCCTTAAAGCTAGCTTTCAAGAACCATATTTGTATTTGTGTGTAAAACATTATGATTCCTAATATCAATGTAAACTGAATTATTACATTAGTTCATTAACATTTGTAAAGTAGGTGGCAAGTGTTTACTCTACCTTCTTTTTAAGACATTAAAAAATAAACTGAAGAATTGATAGGAGAATAAAAGCCATATTCATATTAATGCTGGAACTTAATAAACTATAACTAGAGAATAGGTATTAATAAAATCAGAGTTTGGTTTCTATCAGGTTTCTGATGTATGTATAAGTTATTGATTAAAATTTGCAATGGTCATATCATTATTTTAAGTTCTCCATTCAGCAGGGTAGGATTAAGTATGTTGAGACCCCATGATATGTAATGGACTGTTTAAAAAAGGATTTGAAAAGTCAAGTTGATGAATAGTTTCTTTCTTTCTTTCAAGATGAGTAAAAGTCCAAGGTTTTGCTCATACTGAAACATGCAACATAACCCATACATATTATAAAGTTCTATTACTTGCTACAGATTTTTTTTAAATTATTATAAAGCTGTTGACCGCAACTAGCCTTTACAGTATTACTAAATGATAGCGGCTAATTTCAAGTGGTATATCAATGCCAAGGAACAGCTTATGGAGTAGCCGAAGAACTTGTGCATGAAGAGATACAACTTTAGTCACCGTTGAGGATTCAAATCTTGACTCAGGCTGTCGTAATTTTAATCCCTCTGAATTGGATGGGGGATAGATCAGAGGGATAGTTCAGGTTATGTTATGAGTATTTAAATAACAGACAGCATGCATTGAAAAAAGCAATAATACAATACATATTTTCTTTGAGAATATAAATTTACTAATAAATTTTTCAAATGAAATAATTTAAAATTCCATTTCTCCTTTTACTTGCATAGGGCCCATAACAATGAAGGAGTCATAAGTAGTGCTGCCTAATGTGTCAACTGGCCTGCATATGATAGATGTAGTAAAATTTAACTTAGATTATGTACAGATCACAAACAATACACAATGTCTGTAAAAAGTGAATTATTTCTTTTCTCTTAACATCAGTCTTAGTGGTGCATATATGCGTAATCTGTAAAGAAAAAAATGTATGTTACAAGAAATCTTAAAATGTGTTATTTATTGCTTTGTTAATTGTTGTTAACGCATGAGGAATAATTACTGAAATTATGAATTTTGTCTAAAAGTTTGTATAACAAAATTCTAGAAGACAAACTAGAAATTTGTAAAATATATGAACTTACTAAGCCTTCTGTTTGTAGATAGCTCCGGTAATTGTGCCGTGTCGCTGAATAAGGCACTGTTTCTTATCTGTCTCCAGGCATACGGTGGGTGGTTTAAGGTTTGGTTGTATTTTACAGGCCTGCTCGGATATAGCCACAATTATTCCAGCGGAGTCCACGTGCGCAGTTCCTTTTGAAGCCAAACACAGGCCCTGGTGGTCTGCCACCAGGCAGCCATTTACGTCTGGTGCCAACATTATCTCTTCTATAACTTTATCTAGTTCTTTTTCCATTGTATATAAATATTACTACTAAATGTAACAAATATCTAGACTTTTCGAATAAGCGATAACTACGTGAACACTTGAGTTGAATGTAATATATATTTATCTACTTGTTTAGATTGAAACTAATAAAATGTAAATAGAATTGCAGGAAAATTGGAAAACAAAGAATCAACAACATGAAGTTAGTTTACTGTCATGTCATGTGTCTGTTTTTTTTTTTGGTTCTGTTTTTCCCTCATGTGTCTGTGTCAATTAATATTTAATTGTCAATGTCAACCAGTGTAGTAATTTTTTTGTGCTTTTATTTATCAATATGAAAGGCAAAGAGTCTAAGCTCATACAGCTGTTGACTCTCGTAACATTTTAGTGTTTTTAATTTTTTACTTTCTTCAAATATCTTCTACTATAAAGGATAATATATTTATCGCTTCGTTTATAATTTTTTTAATTAAGTCTAAATAGCGTGCGTGATATTTAGAACTAAATTTAATAAAAAAAAATTGCTAAGGATCTAAATATAGACGAAGTTAAGTCAAAATCAAATATAATGCTTGGTTTCTTTTTTTTTAATTTCTGTCTTGAGTAGTGACGACGATTACAGAATTAATAGGTAAATTTTAGAAGGTACTAGCTATACCCGGCCTTCACCCACGTGGAGTTTAACTTTATTTTTCTAAAATAAAAGTAGACTAAATTACTCCTTATTATATCAGCTACCTGCCAATAAAAGTCCCGTCAAAATCGGTTGAGCTATTTCTGAGATAAGCCGGAACAAACACAGACAGACAGACAGTCAAACAAAAATTGTAAAATATGTTATTTTGGTGTATTTATTTTCATGTGCATGTAGTAAAAAACGGTTATTTCAATATTACAAATACCAATTTTATTTATATGTATAGATGTATAGATTTCACATTTATATATAAATACAACACATCTATTATACATTGGAACCAGCTCTAGACATACCTGAATTGCGGGAGTCCACAAAAGAATGACTATTTAGAAATTATGAACACTATTATGACTGTTTGCTAGTACAGGTACGCTTTACGACTCAATCTGTAAAATAATCTTATTAATATTATAAACGCGACAGTTTGTGAGTATGGAGTATGGATGTATGTTTGTTACTCTTTCACGCAAAAACTACACAACGGATTTTTATGAAAATTCTAGAGTAACATATATTAGGCTATAAATTTCACGAGAGTTAAATCGCGGGCATAGCTAGTACTAATATAATACCTAATAAAAACATTCCTGAACCCGACAACTGATACAAATACATATTTATTTGTTATTTCATACACCAACCATCAATATTTATGAAAACAAATGTTTCTACCGTGGAAGGAATCGACCCGCTACCATCGGAAGTAACGCGGTGTGCTAAACCACTCGGCCATCGAAACGTCATATTTATTTATTTAAATTCTTATAAAGTAGATAATAGATATACTTATTATTTGTTTACTTGTTTTATAATTCTATATTTATATATAGAAATAACTTACGTAATAAAAAATGGTAGTTTTTAATTTATTGACTTGGTCTTTTTATACTTCCTTAACTGTTTATAATATTATACTGGTATAGTATAACTAGATACATTATTACAATATAAACCAATAGCGTATATAAATGAAAAAAATAAAAACGTTGTTTCGTCATATAAATTAAAGTCGCTATTAAAAAATAGGGGCTGAGGGGTAGAAATGTCAAAATTTGAAGTTGTATGTATTTTTCAATGCTAAATTACAACAAAAAAATTGACAATAAAATAAAAAAAAAAAATTTGGGGTGGGTCATCCTTATAATCGAGGGGTGTGAAAATATATAGTAGCCGATTCTCAGACCTACTCGATATTCACACAAAATTTCATAAAAACCGGTAAAGTCGTTTCGGAGTCGTTTTGTAACAAATACCGCAACACGAGAATTTTATATGTAGACAATCAAGTTTAATTCTTGTTTGTACGATGTTTTCGTTTGTTTAAGAGGCTAGCACATAATTTATAAACGGGTATATAAGTAGCTAGGTACACGAATGTATTGGCATAATGATTTTACTGTATTGTAATTATAAATTTATAATTTGTATAGACATGAAAGGTCACGTATTGTACATAATTGCATATTATGATGTATCTGCGGATTCATATATTTAGATCATAGCGTTTAGAATTAATAACACAAAGTAAAATAATCACAGATGATAAATATATAATACAAGCTGTGCTCGCGACTTCGACCGCGTGGAGTAGTGTCCTTGAATAGAATTAAATATTTAATCACTGAACCCAAAAAACCAAAGAAAATGTTTCATAATTCTAGTTTAAAAATGACGAATTTTCATACAAACTTTCATCCACTAATTTAAGTTATTTTACTAACTTTGAATGTCATATTAATTTATATTTAATCAACAGCCTAAACAATAAGTTTTTAGCTTCAAGCTTTAAAAATATCGATACTTCCATAAAACTTTTTTTCTAAAAAACTTTTTCTCGGTTGTTAAAAAGTAGCTTAAGTTCTATGCCCTTTATATTTTTTATTCCATCGTCTCAATTCGACGTTTATGTTCAATTTTCAGTCTCGTCTCTATGTATTTTTCGTGTGTCTCGTCTATTTCTTTAACTTAAAATACTTTACAAAATGCATAAAAAAGATGAAAAAATTAATGTAATAACAATAGTAATATGTTCGATGTACGGAGCGTTCCCTCTGGATTCGTTTTGTTACTCTCTGAACCCATATAAAAATGTGAGTTATTATTATTATTTTACAGTCAATTACAATAATTAATGTGACCAACAGACTTACAGATAGTCAAACGACCATGGCGAAACTGTAAAACATCCTACAATGAATGGATCCTAAAACAAATCTACATTATAACATAAACTTGAACAGTCATAAACGGCCAGTATCAACAGTCTCCACGCCGCCGCGCCGTCTAATTGCTAACTTGTGCAAATGTTGTATAATATTTTTTTAAAACTACAATAATGTGGCAAATAATAATTTTTTGTTTAGTAATAATACTGATATTGATTGCATTTTTAGAAGTTATAAACTCGTGTGTATTTTCAAACGATGGCAGAAGAATGTGGAATTGGAAGTTGTTTGGCAGTATGTATATTTTACCTTTACTCGTTTATTTTTTTATTGTCTGGTGCTTGTCAAGTGATCACAACATGGTGTATGAGCGCGGCACAAGATGATCTGTTGCTAACAATAGAAGGAAGAAAATTCTTAAGTAAATAAAAATAGGCTTTATGCCTGGTTCAAAAACTTGAAGTGTGTTTATATTTCCTTCTGTTATAGCGGCTACTCAATTTTAAAGTACATAAAAATGGACCAGTGGTAAAATGAATTGTAGATAATTGTCAGAAACGAATTTTGGTGGCGGGGCACCAGCGTGTAACTTTAACAGCATACATCATAGATGTCAGGAAAATTTAAATATAATCTAAAGAAGTTAAAATGGATTTTTTTATTTGAATTTATGCTTAAAGAATAAGGGAAAATGGAGTATCTCCACGCGGAAACCATATTTGTGAATTATTTCTCATGAATTGATCACAATATTTATGACGAGTGTTATTATTGTTTATACATTCAGTTATATATATATCTAATATTATAAATGCGAAAGTTTGTGAGTATGGATGTTTGTTACTCTTTCACACAAAAACTACTGAACGGATTTTGATGAAACTTTACAGTAATATAGCTTATCCATCGGAATAACATATAGGCTATAAATTTAATGCGGATGAAACCGCGGGCACAGCTAGTATATTATATATCTGAATTTTATATATTAGAGATATACTCGTTTATTACAATGTTTACTATTGTTTACGGCGAGTGTTAATTGTTCATACATTCAGATATGTGTATTTATGAGTATATGTATGTAGCCACGTCTCAAACCGGTCAAGTGCAGGTCACGTTTGCTCAATGTTTGTTCCGTATTGTCACAAAATGTTATTATCAAAAACACATACAACTAGTACACATTTTTGGTATTGACATTGAGTGTTAATATTTGCTAGTAGTAAGGTTACTTAGATACTATTGTTTGAATGTATATGTATAAAGATTTATCTATACATCTATAAATATAAATAAAATTGGAGAGTGTCTTTGTAATATTGAAATAACCGTTTTTTACTACATGCATATGAATATAAATACGGTACGTACACCAAAATAAGATTTTTTACAATTTTTGTCTGTATATCTGTCTGTCTGTCTAATCTCTGAAATGGTTGAACCGATTTTGACGGAACTTTTATTGGCAGGTAGCTGATGTAATAAGGAGTAACTTAGGCTACTTTTATTTTAGAAAAATAAAGGCAAATTCCACGCGAAGTCGCTGAAACAGCTAGTCTTATATGTATATGTATAGATTTTAACCAGTATCTTTAGTGGAGGGCACGTTGTCTTGTATTCTATTAGTGGATATAGTATATATTGTACCTATATAATATCCTCTATCTGTTTTTGACGGCCTCGGTGGTCTAGCGGTTTAGCACACCGCTTTACTTCCGATTCGCGGGTTCGATTCCCCGCACAGTGCAAATATTTGTATCATAAAAAGATGGAGGAGGCCTTCACCCAAAGAGGGGTCCATATCCACAAATAATATAATTATAATTATAATATAATACTATAATACTAACAAAGAGATCAAAAAAAACAAATTACTAACAATTTATTTTTATTTTTTTATTTGTACAAACTTCTGGATGGTTATGGAAATAAAAGGCTTTATTATTATTATTATTATTATTAACTATGATTGCTTGTATTGATCTGGGTGTTATCTATGTATACTATTTATGTATTTACAAAAAAAATCTAAGTATTTATATCAATTGTCTAGTACCCATACCTGCGTGCATCTTAATGTGGGACTAGATGACGGTATGTTAATTGTACAGGATTATTTATTTATTATAAATTCATCAGGAATTTATGTATGTCTACATATATAATATTTATTCACTATGGTTATGGTGGAAGTCAACCTGACATTGTACAATGATAGCAATAGGATCATTATACCATATCACTAACAACTCCTTTCCCCCTAATGCCTCAGACTACTCCATCGGGAATTATATCCATTAATATATGTACCTATAAAATTTCCAGATCCATTGACAA